TTAAAGGTGGCACTAAGGGCAACAACAGCACTGTCTTGAACTCAGTTTAAACCACTGCCACATTATAAAGGCAAGCATATAGTGGGCAAATTAAAAATGGACCTGTCCAACACAAAGCATAACCAGTGACAGACATTGATACTTAAAGCCAGAGAGAAACTTTAAGACCCTTACCACACGGATCCTGTGCCCCATAGCCTTTGCAGGAAGATTGCTCTTGAACTTGGCACGAACCATTCCACTGTTTCCATGAGCCCGTGTGACTTTACCCCAGATGACACGTGTCTTGTTGGGTTTACCGCCGGGTGTTGCGGTGATCCTTTAGACAACATACAGAACTCACATTAAACATTGCCGACTATGGACAAAAAAACAAAATAAGACCATCAATAGAAATTATGAAACGCGTCTCTGCATGGAAGGGTAAAATATGATCATCATCTTCACAGTACATGAAAAGCAGTTTACAACCCATTTTACTAGTGGGAAACACTACATTCAATGAGTCAAATATCAATTATGATCAAAAAATAAATAACTGAACTAAATTTTATTCAATCAATTTTCAATCATAAACCATTATGGATACATCATTATCTGAACCAGAAAGAGTTTTATTGCCAAGTGTGCTTAGACACACAAGGATTTTTTCTTGATACTGAAGATGTACTAAACCGTTTTGAAATTGGAGAAAACATTACGATGGAAATAGTATTTTAAAACCTGTTAGCAGGCTCAGTTGTGAAATCAACTTTCAAATTTCGAACAACTTGTTTAGACGTAAGGCTTGCCTTTGATTATCTAGGAAGACAAGAGTAAAAAAAACTTTGATATTTATGAAATAATGTTAAGAAGTACACTTGCTTTACAGTAAACTAACTTGAATAACTTTTTGCATTTTCATTTTTAAGAAGTGTTTAAAAAGAGACCAACCGTAGGTCTATTTTATAGCATTCATGATTCACATTCACAACTATTTAAGGTCAGATTTATGCTCAAAAAGTAAGGTGACAGTTGACAGGTTAATAATAAAACATCAAATAAACTTATGGAACAGCAAATGCTAATTAATTAATTCAAAATAAGAACAGAAACATACATTTTAAGTAAACGGAGTTAATTATATAAATGGTAACTTGCATATAAAAGTGAATATTGTCACAGGCAGAGTTGCCAAGTCCGCTTATAATATGCAACTTCTGGCTTTTTTTGGTAAATTGTGTAAACAAAAGTTTTAAAAAAATTAATCGGGTGCTTCTCAATTCTTATTTGTGCATCCTCGTTTCCTTTCCTCGCGTCTCATGCAGGACGCGAGGGAAGGCTGCAAGGAAAGAAAATGAGGACTGAGGAATCGAATGAAAGTTTTTTTTTTATACTTTGGAATACTTGATCACTCGAGCGTCACTTCACAGCGTCATCAGCAGCGCTCAAAGGATCTGCCCTTATGTTGTATTAGTTTGGTTATTTAAGAAATTAGTAATAAATAATAATAAAGCAAGATACCCTCTTGAAATATGTGAGATGTGTGGTTTATTTTAAACTGCAAAGGTCAAGTATAAATTAAAATGATTGTGACCGACGTGAAGGGGGATGAGAATGTATAAGTGCGTCACGTTTAGTCGATAAAACACTTCCGCAAAGCATGCAACTGTGCATCCTCGCTCATGACTCCTCTGGAAGCCTCCTCACAGTGCAATTAGAGAATTGAGATGTCCTTCAAGATGGCTGAGCTCGATCAGTTTCCGGGTCATAGGATGGAGGATCGAGGAGACGAGGAGGGATATTGAGAAGCACCCATAGTGTTGTTTTTTTTGTCGTTTGTTTTATCACCAGTTGTGGCTTTTTGGGCACATTTAAAAAAAAAAATATATATGGTTGCTTGTTAAGAAAACCTGACAAGCAACTTCATTTGATTACATTTATGGGTGCTGTTTTCTCCAATACATTGACAGTCTGCTCACAGCTAACAGACAATCAGTGCAATAATACGAGTGCTGTGGCCCCATCCTCCCCTCACTGGAGAAAAATCTCATTCAACATGCAGGTGTGTGACATGTACAATTTAAAAAACAATGCCACTAACAGATGTACAGGGATTGAGAGCAAACATGGGAGATGATGGACAGCGCAGGGGAGGAGAGAGACCCAATTAAAACATTTTTTTAAAATATATTTCTGAGATGCATTTATCATTACAGGCTGTAATAAAAAAGTACTAATAGGCTACTAACAGTTAGGGATGCACCGATATGAATATTTTGGCCAATACTGATAATTATAACCCGAGCCCGATTACAAAAACAAAAGTCTCACCATTAAAGCCATGTACCAAGCACACAATTATAATGTTCTCATTATAATTTTATGTAGCCTTTATGACAAAATTGTTCTGCACGTTGCACTTAACAGTATTTTCCTTTTTTGAAGCGATTTCAATCATATTTCAAGCAATTCAAAAGCATCTTGGCAAACAGTGTGCATCTGAAGTGTCTCAGCTGAAGGAAATAATCCATTTCTCATCTTTAAAATATCGGCCAAATTTTCGGGATAACATTAAAAATGAACATACATCGGCTGATTCCGATTCGGTGGCCGATATATCGTGCATCCCTACTAATAATAGATGCATATGGTTCAAATTTATTTTATTATAAATGTGGCTATTACAGCTCCCTCTTAGTGCTCTCGTCTTTTTCTCCTTTTCCATCTCTAAATCGATTCTGCTCACAGGTGATCGGAGGATAGTGCGTGTCCTCACTATATTTATGGATATATAATATTGATAAATATTAGGCTTGTTTTTGAAAACAAGCCTAATATTAGGCTCTGCTTTTGCTTATCAGTCTTGCCAAAGTTGGCAACACTGGTCAATGGACTGACAGCATGATCACACAAACAGATTACAGACTACAGAATGGAGTCAAACCGTTCCTCACACGTGCTGTTACTCGTCCCATAAACACTATATCGTGCCGTTACTTACTTTTTTGCCTTGTAGACGTAGGCACAGCGTTTGCCCAGGTAGAAATCGACCTCTGTGCGGTTGTAAACTCCCTCTAACTTGAGCAGAGCAGTGTGCTCACGCTGGTTCCTCAGGCCACGCTTGTAGCCAGCAAAGATGGCCTTGCTCCACAGCCTGAAAGAGGGGGAAAAGTTACCTCATCTTTATCTATGTACATGAGCCAAGCATTAGTTATCGCAGTTAAATATACGACATATTAACAATGCTGACAGCTTTCATGTCTTACCTTCCGGGCATAATGATGCTTTGACCAGGCTAATAACCTAAAATAAAATAAAAAACATAAGACAGAAACACATTTAGTCAAAGGGTCAATGTGCGGTGGCTCGTGATACAAGGATTTCATATTTACGTTGACTACGGTAACTTATATCCACAGCAGCATGTTTATCTTCCTCAATGCTAGTTGCTAAGTTCTTCCACAAAGTTATACGTAGTATATAGTTAATATTACGTCTTCAACACAAGCTAACCCGCGTAGTAAACATCATAAATGATTAACAAACAGCTATGTTAGGACAACAGATTTGACAGTAATGTGCAGAAATGAGCTCCGGACCACAGTTTAGCCTGAGCCAACGGGCTCAAACAATCCGCTTAAAATCCAAAACATCTTATGTCGTACATGGCAGAACTCAGCTGAATATGGACTTTATTTGTATTTTTGATCAATACTGGTAGAAATGAAGGTTTACTTTACATCACACAAGGCTAAAATGTCATATTTTAAAAGACGAGCTCTAAAACGCTCACCTGATTCAGTCTCAAAAATGGAGGAAAAGGCCGCTCGCAAGGAATGCTGGGAAAATGTTGGCGACGCTGTCTGAAAATCTGCCTGAATGAAATTAGAGCGTTTTAAATGCGATTTTTTTCTTCTACCACTTTTACAGTTTCTTCTAAATCGTTAAAAACCACAACATAGTAGTAGTGATAATAATAAATAATAATAATAAAATGTGTTATCATTTGCTTTAGTTTTAACATTATAGTATTTTCTGACAAGTGGACTTTTTCACAAAGATTTTATATATTTCTACATTTATTTATATACCTTAAAATGTTAACAAAGTGCAAAAAGACACGTGTACATAAACATTTACATGGGCTACAAGGATTTTGACTAGCAATACACATAAATTAACATATAGGCTCAAGTATTAATTTCTATATTATTTAGGCATATAGGGATTTGGATCTTCAGCAAGTTTTTTTCTCTCTTAGTAATATCAGTATTTATTTTTATAACACTAAATAAGCATTCAATTACCAAATATAGTGTGAAAATGTAAATAAAGGTATTTCATAAATTAAAAATTGCTGCTAAAGTAGGCACTCGTAAAGTAAGACAATCTTCTTCCAGACAGAGTTGCACAAACAAGGCCAGTTAGGAGAGAATATTGGAAGAACTGCCATTCACAAATCCTCTCCCGTGGCCTCATGGGATAGTAAAAGTGTCCATCATATGCTATGATCATATGCGATCATATCTTTCTTTTACGATCATATCTGCACACTTCAGAATCTTACCGGAAGTAGTCATCCGGGTATTTTATGCCTACTCTTTTTTTTTTTAGACCAAAAAATGTAGATCCAAAGCATTCTTGAATTAAAACCATTTAAGTGCATTTTCACGTCTATTCCCAAAAAAATGGGGTGACAGGTAATGGGTTAAAATTACTCAGTACTAAAATAGCTTCCCTATACTAAAAAGCTATTTGATTTAAAACATGATACATGTAATTGATCTAACAGCTTTACTAGATTTCCCATGGCCATCACTAAATTCTAGTAAAAGTAAAGATTAAATCACACTGAACATACAAAATATGTTTTCCTTTGATTTTAATCTGTACATGTATTACTAATATCATTATTATTGTTATCAATTATTATTATTTACTACTATTGTAGTGACCTTTATTTTGAAATGAGTAGGTTTCGGTGGGCGTGGCTCAACGACTAGTTCACGCTGCTGCCATTTTAGTGCGCGGTGAGAGGCGAGCGGCCGTACAAAGAGTCTGCACAAAAAAACAATGCTGCAATAGGCACGGTCTGCGGTTATTTGTGATTGAAGAGAAGTCGACGTTCATTTGCTCGGATCGCACTCATATTCCATCATGTCCACCGAAACTCCACCGGACCAGGTAAAGTAAAGACATATGTGGATTGTTGGAAATCAAGTGTTCGTGTTTGCGGCCTAGCTGTTGAGTTCGCTCCTAAAGCAGAATGCTGTCGATGTTTAAAGGTTTATTACACGCCTCTCACAGTATGCGTCGAGTGTTTGTGTTGTGGTTGTTCTGCTGGAATAAATTCGTGATGAAACATTTGAGGTAGTAGGATAGACTAGTGTTGACGTAATGCTGTTGCTTAGATGCTGGCGGTTGTATGACTGAAGCACGACACACCACGATGCCATTGATTTTCACCTCTACTATTGTTAATAGCAATGTTCAGATTTATTATGTAGGCTTGAGAAAGCCAACGTACTATTATTATTCTATTTAAACTTATTTTCTTTTAAAAAAAAATGGACTGCAACATCTCCTAAAGCTTTAAAGCTACACCATCAAACTCGGACAAGACCTTCAGACTCGGGTTGATGCGTCTTTTCTAACCGATCGGAAGATTTTCCTGAATCTGGTGACCAGAAACTAATTAGAACACCCTAGCAACATTCAGTCACCATAGCAATACCCTAGTAACCACATAGCAACCTCCAAGCAACTAACGTTACCCTGCTTAGCAACACCCTACCCTTCACACAATATCATAACTTCTCTGTCTGGCCTTTAAACCTTCCAAATTCTAGGCCACCATTTAAAAACATTCAAACTTAAAGCTAATTAACAGCAATTTAAACTGAATACTTTCACACTTCAAGATTTTAAAACTACTTCACACTTAGCCAGCCTCGCTCGACCCAACATCGTAGTTTGTCTGACAAACTTTATCTAGTTTATTACAAATAACAAGATTGTTTATCCTTTAGTATATTACAATGACTTGATTGTCAAAATGCCGTCTATGAAAGCATCTTTCAAAGTTTTTAAACGCAACAGAATAACAGCTATATTTCATGTACACTGCACAATTCCTATGCTTTAGATTGAGAACCATTGATGTTTAGCTTATGGATATATGTCCCACCAGAATGAAATGTCTTTTTTTGGGAACAAATGTTGCTCACACATTTCAGGATAATCTGGTCTCACATTTGTTGTTTCTTTTCCCCTCAACAGGCAGCAGAGTACATCCCAGAGAAGGTGAAGAAAGCAGAGAAGAAGTTGGAAGAAAACCCATATGACCTCGACGCTTGGAGCATACTGATTCGTGAAGCACAGGTTTAGTGACACAGGGTTGCATTCCTTTCTACCCGGGGGTAACATGTTTTGGGAGGGGACGGGAGGGCGAATCTGATGCTGTTTCATGTAAACGGTCTTTGGGACGTACATTATAATTCTGTATGTAAATGAATTTTACTTCTTTTAGAATCAACCCATAGACAAAGCAAGGAAGACATATGAGCGACTTGTCGCCCAGTTTCCCAGTTCGGGCAGATTCTGGAAGCTATACATTGAAGCTGAGGTTAAACTTTTTATTTGAATTTAATGACATTTTCATATCTGTGCATGACGATGCTTCTCCCCATTTTGATCAACAATGTGATATTCACACACACCAGCAGTGCACAATAATCGCAGGGCGTCAAGGGAAACTCTCATAGCTTGTATCATTTAGAGGTTCTCAAGTCATTCTTTTCCTTATACTTTGCAGTTTTATGAGGTGATATTGTTGCATGTTTTATCTGCAACAGCATTAAAACAATTTTAATGGTATTGGAGTGCTTTAGCCTTTATTACTTGTGTCAATTTCTTGCCTCCTGTGTCATTTCTTTGAGGTTGTTGTGGTTTGTTTGTAATTAATTATTCAAGATTTGCTCCATACTAGCGTCTAATTCTCTTGTCCCTCATTCCATATTATACATGTCAGGTGTAGTCCAGCATGCACAGCAGTCCACACATCAACTAAGTCTAGTTTGTCTAAACCCTGAGGCGAATTTTACGGTATTTTACAAGTATACACTTGCACCACACATGCTCACATTCTCTTAGATTTACTATTAGATTATTTCTAAATGTGAATATGAAACAGGCATGATATGATGTTTAAATGCACGAGTGCAGTTTAGGGACAGATTGTAATGGTAAGTATCTTACAAGTAACATTTAGATGCACATTTACATTCAACTAACTTAACAAGTGTAGTCACTTAAATGGTTAGGTTTTTGGTCTTCTTTTTTTAATATTCCTAATAGAATTAGATTTTTTTTTTGCCCATTATATTGTCAAATCATTTTCTGGGTATAAATGATTCAACATCGCCCAAAAAAAACTAAATATGATTTTTTTTTGTATATTTTTGGTGGAGGGTGGTTGTGAATTTTTTCCTCTCTTTTTATGCTTAGTTGATCGTTACAGTTAACCCTTTGCTAAGCCCCGCCCTATAACATTACTGACCAATCCTGCCTTTGCAACTTGGCCGTTTTTAGATAAGTTTTGCTCTTTCCAAATATCTCCAGCCTCATTCCCAAATGAACATGTATAATATCAGTAAGAGCAGATTTGCTCCAATATAATGTTAAACTTAGATGTCATTTTCATAGTAATCAATAAAAGAGTTTGCAGTACTATTGTGAATGTTGTAGAAAGTTACTAGTCGTTCTGTTTACTCACATTGGTAATCACTTTCAAATTATCATTATTTTTCACTTGGGAAAAAGGTAGCCACAATTCTGATTTGCAGTCTTTAATTTTTAATCATTTCTGCATCCAAAAGTGTAGAGAGTGTCAATTAATTTCACCCCACGTAATAATAATTTTCCAATCCATTTTGATCGCTTTGAGCACATTTTATTGATAATCACTCCATTTACTGAATTCTCCTCTTCCTGTCTGTGGGATGTTTTGTAAAGATGGAAACGCTAACCAATTAGAGTGGGGCTTATTGAAGGGGTCAGTTATGATAGGAGCTGCAATCACAAAATAATTTCCTCTGTAAAAACAGACCTTGCCATGGATAAATCAATTGGAGAGCTGGGGTTGAATGAAATATTATTTATTTTCAGATCCCCAATTGTGATTTCTTGCTAATCAACCTTTTTTTGTTGTCGTCTGAATTTAAATCAAAAGTGTAAAATCATTTATTTTAAATTCAGTAAATTTAATTGAAATAGTATAATGGACCAATCAATTGTAGGTGTTTATGCACTGAGTATGATTGAGCATTTCCAATCATTATTTAATTCTTGTTCAAGCTTCTCAACCCTTAGTCAAAACTGTTTTTTTTTTTTTGTTTTTTTTTTTTACCCCTACCGTAATAAAATGCACTTTAACAAGTTTGGCTTGTCGTTGTAATGTGCATTCATTGTAATCTTGTGTCAGTGAGTGTGCGTGCATGCGTGTGTCCGAGGCAAGGAGACGGCAGTACCACAGTGATCATGTCCCACAGCGACTCCAGTATTTCTCACACTCTGTCATGCTGAGTTTTGATTTCGTTTGGAGCTGTTGGGTGGTTTGGTTAAGTATGTCAGTCTATCACCGTTTGCCCTGGAGCACAGACACACTGCCAACAACCTCTCACAGCTGACCTCAGCGTTATTAATTCGATTTAATGTCACCAAGAACCACAGAGCTAATCTGAAATGGCCTTAATGAGAGAGCATTTACTCACCGTTATATCATTACAGACCTGTTTGAGTTTTTTTTTTTTCTGTTGAACAAAGATGACCTTTTGAAAACAAAAATCTGTACAGTGAAAGTGAATGAGGACCAATGTTATTTTGGTCCCCATTAACTTTCATTGTATGAATTAAAACGGTTTAAATATCTCTCGTCTCTGTGCGTTCCACAGAAGAAAGTAAATCATACAGGTTTGTTATGACATAATCATGAGAATTTTAATTTAAGTAAACAATCCCTTTAATGATAACATTGCACGCTTAGTCCTATTATGTAATTATATTATTGCATTAGGCAGATGCTTTTATCCAAAGCGACTTACATCGCATTTCAAGGTACACATTTACATTCTTATCAGTTCTTGCTTTCCCTGGGAATCCAACCCATGACCATGGCGATGCAAGCGCCAACGCTCTACTGTTTGAGCCACAGGAAAGCTGAATAGTTGCAGGTTGTCCTATTTTACTGCTATTTAGGGAAAGCGGTGGACAAAGGGCTTTGTGTGCTGAAAGTACTACCATAGAGTGCATTACAATTGCACAGACAGAAAAGTAAGAATCTGACTTTACCTCTTATATTGTTATCAGTGAAAATGCATCAATCCTTGATGGCATATACTGGTAATCTGTTTCTTTTTAAATGGGATTATTTAATCCCTGTCCCTATCTAACCATTACCTCTTTCCTCAAAATACATTTGAGCTCTTAAGACATTTACTCTTAATTTGCATCCCCGCAATCTCAGTACCACTGAATGACTCCAGCGGTTATCTATAAGATCTCTGAATACTTAGGAGAGTTTTCACATTCACCTGCTTTTTGTCCTCTGGAATACATGATGTGCAGTTGCCTCAAATTGTATTCATATTTGATCAGAATACTGAAACATTTGCAAGTGCATGACTCGGTCAGTGCGAGGTTTAGGCCGGTTACCAGTCCAGCACTAAATCATGCATCTCTTTAATATTATGTTTTTTAACATCTGAAATTCTGTTATTTATTGAACACTTGTTGCAAATCGTGCTGATTAATGTTATCTAGCTGGGAAATAAAAGATAATTTATGGGAATTGCCAGAATGACTAATGATCGACTTAAGAGCTTCACTTCAAATTGGTTATAAACAAATTCGACACATGTTTTGCACTGTAAAGTGTTTGAGTTTATAGCTGTTATGGTGATACTGTACATTATAATTTTTTTTGTGGTGGCATAGTGCTATATTGTTTCTGACCCATATTAAAATATGGTGCTGGATGTAGTTATTTTTTATATTTGTGGCGCACCAGCAGAGAAAAATCCTTCTTGGTGAGCCCTGAAGTTTCATTTCTGTTTGTCTTAGTGGTGAGAAATTGGTTTCTTGTTTTTTTTTTTAATTCTATTAATACACATTATGGCGATTTTATTGTTGGCTCTTATTCAAAGGGAAATATTTATTTTAAGTTAAGATTTTCCTGCAAAAATGAATAAATGGTGATCACACTTACACAATTTCCCTCAAAATAGCAACTTCTGCTAAATAGATTTTTGTGTTTCTCAAAGGAAGTTGGTGAATAAGAGAATTCATCTTAAGTAAACCTGTGTTTTAAATTATTGTAAATGTCTGAGTGTAATGTTTCATTTTTGACGCATGCTAAACTCTTATACTTTGCCTCATAAAAATATTCGCTTTGTAAAACCTTCAGATGCAAACCACAGGGATGTTAAATCTTAAATCTTTTCTATAGGGTTTTGCACTCCAAAAAGCAATACATTTACTAACACATAATGGCCTGGTTTCATAGACAGGGCTTAGATTAGTAGCTTTTATAAAAACGCCTTGGGAAAAACATTACAGGTGTGCATCTTGAGATTAAACAATGGCACTGGTATATTTTAAGATATGTCAGTGCAAGTTGCTTCCAGTTAAAACAGCTCAAACATGCATTTTAGTCCGAGACTAGGGTTAAGTCTTGTCTGTGAATCCGGGGAAATTTGCACCATTTGCAGCTTTGTGGCCCTTTCATACGCACATGAAATAAGTCATTCTTCAAACTAGCTCTAGTGAATCTTGTGACTCTATGCAGTTAATAGAGGAAGACAGTCATACAACTGACATAATATTATGCAGGGTTGTGTGAATGTCACATCGTTGACCTTAAAAGGGTTGTGTGTGCATGTGTGTGGAGCAACTTAGTCTTGATACTGACATTTAAAAAAAAATTAAAATAATATTGGTTTTCAAATGTGTCCACAGATCAAGGCTAAAAACTATGACAAGGTTGAAAAGGTAAGCATTTGTTATCGCATGGAAGCCACATTTTGAATTTATTGGTTGTATGAAATTATTGTGATGGACACATCCATAGGTGTAAGTCCATAAAAGCTGAGCTTTACCTAGGTCACCACTCAAAAGCTCAGGGAGAGTAAACACGAAGATGGTGAAGTGAAATAAAATGACACCCTGCTTCACTAGAGATATCCTGTTTGCTTTCCCGAATCCAGAAAACAGGCAATCAGACAATAAAATACGAGGGGAAAAAGTCCCAGATTTGATTCTGCATGATGGAGGACGCATTATCCGAGTTTGTTAGATCCCATTTCAGAGAGCAATTCACTGTTAATGCAGTTTGGCAACAAAACATCAGCCGTACAGGGTCAATATTGAGTCGCTTGATGTCTCACGTGACCCTTTTATTTCTGAAAACGAGAAAGTACAGGATGCCGACGTGATATTCTTTGCTCTAATTACCATGTAAATGTGAATTATTCAGTATTATGTCAAAATACCGTGGTATTGTAATCTGACGATTACAGATTATCTGCCAAAAATCGATGCAGAATTATAACATCAGTATATTTTATATGATTTAAGTGAAATCTAGAATTAGTTGACTTTGATATGTTTTGTATTAACCGCCATCAATGCTACGGTCACAGTATTGTTTGTAAGCATGAATCCGTGCTGTCTTGTACATCAGATGGGTTTGTTCACTGTTCAATCTCTTGCTCAGTTATTTCAGAGGTGCTTAATGAAGGTTCTGCACATTGACCTGTGGAAGTGCTACCTCTCATATGTCCGGGAAACCAAAGGAAAACTACCCAGCTATAAGTATGTGAGATGATTGTGTTTCCATGGCTTTAAAGCGATCAACTGCCTTTGTCAATGCCTTATATCTATAGCAATATCAATAATGGCAATATCTAAAGGGAGAAGGGTTATTTATATTCCCTATACAATGGGTTCAAAGACCACAATTCAGTCTGGGATTTAAAATCTAATTATAAAATGGAGAGTTCTGGTCCTTGATTTAAATCTAGTTTTAGATTATAAAAAGAAACGTTAATATTTAATAAGCAATATTTTAGATTCTTCCTTATTCAATGCCTTATTCTAGTTGACTAATCAAATTTGTGACAATTTGATTTGATTTTCAAGGTCATGACTGGACATGACAATTGTCAAGGTCATTGTCACAAATTTGATTAGTCAACTATTATAGTCAATTAATCATTTGTGACAATGACCTTGAAAATCAAAATTTCAAGGTCATTGTCACAAATGACTAATTGACTATAATAGTTGACTAATCAAATTTGTGACAATGACCTTGAAAATTGTCATGTCCAGTTTTCAGCTTCCATTGAAGCACAAGATACTCTTTGAAATTGAAACATCCTTAAATAGTTATGGGTAACATGATTTTCAGTTTGTTTTTTGTTTTTTTATTATAGTGGAGGGATATACCAAATTATAAAATGTTCATTTTTCACTTAAACTTTATGTTCTGTAATACTGATGATGTAATTTATATTAGAAGAATGCATTTTTATTAGTTTCTCAGACTTCTGGCCCTATTGCATATACTAACATTTAATTCTAGAAAAATTATGGAAATTAAATGAACAGTTATTTAATAATGTCACTTTTACATCACAACATATTTTGAATACAGGAAATTGTGAGTTGTATGTTTCTTGTTGCATATAGTTAGAAACCGACTTTAAATGTGCTGTTCTTCGACAGAGAAAAGATGGCACAAGCTTATGATTTTGCTTTGGATAAGATTGGGATGGAGATTATGTCCTATCAGGTGAGGGTTTGACTGTCCTTATTAATCCTGATTTGTTGTCCTATGGCATCCTAAACATTAACTTAAAACTCTTCTCTTAGATTTGGGTGGATTACATCAATTTCCTCAAAGGCGTGTAAGTACACCATTTGGATTCTCAAAAACCCATTTCACGGTCTTTTAAAGAAGTTATATTTGGAGGAAAGGCGTTTGACGAGCTCTCTGTATGTGTCATCTAGAGAGGCCGTGGGGTCGTACGCTGAGAACCAGCGGATCACAGCCGTCAGACGCGTGTACCAGAGGGGTTGTGTTAACCCCATGATTAACATTGAGCAGCTCTGGAGGGACTACAGCAAATATGAAGAGGTGAGTACATGGAGGATGATGGATGTTATTCTGATTCAGGGCAGTTTGGGTAGTGGCAGTAGTCAGAGTAATGGCGGCAAAACTGTGGAATAGTCTGCCAGTTAGTATTATAATTGCCACAACTTTAGATGATTTTAAATCAAAACTTAAGTCTTATCTGTTTGCCATTTCTTTAAAATAAATGATGCAGTTATATTATCTGTTCTGTTGTTTGTTAGTTGTCATATTTTTGTGTTTTAAGCTATATTATGTACAGCACATTGATCAACAGTTGTTGTTTTAAAAGGTGCATATAATGTGACATTGACATTGTAAATGGCAATAATTCAGATTTGTTATGAGAAACTTCTATTCAACATTGAACAGGAATTTCTATTGCTTAATTGGTTGTGATCAGAGCTAGAAATGCTTTTGGTTGTTATGTGTGTATGTACCATTTATGTTTGTCATAAATTGCTTTTGTTCCGTCATAAAGGGCATAAATGTGCACTTGGCTAAAAAGATGATTGAAGACCGGAGCAGAGACTACATGAATGCCAGGAGAGTAGCCAAGGTGAGTTAAGCACAGGTTAAAATTCACCACAAAAAAAAAACAAATTTGCTGTCATTGTTTGCCACTCTAAAACCTTTTCTTTGTTGTGAAAGTTGAAAAGTTCTGAATTCAAGTGAACCTGCACTTCGGTGGGCGGTTTCTAAGCACCAGAATGAATAGTCTGTTTCTATTGGTCGCTCTCCCTTGGCGCAATAATTTGGCCACTCCCAATACTTCCTTTTTCACGGTCCACATTACAGCGCAAAAATTGCGTTTTCAAATGTATCCACTTGAGAGAGCATCTTAAAAAAGCTCATTTTTTCCACAGGACAAAAATGCAGTCTCATTGTGTACAGAAGGCCAAAATGTAAAGAAACGGATGCGTTTTTAAATGTATCCGGATTAGTGTAGACGTGGCCTTATTTTATCTGATGCCGAAAACACTTTAAAGGGTTAGTTCACCCAAAAATGAAAATTATGTCATTAATGACTCACTCTCATGTCGTCCCAAGCCAGTAAGACCTCCGTTCATCTTCGTAAACACAGTTTAAGATATTTTAGATTTAGTCCGAGAGCTTTCTGTCCCTCCATTGTAAATGTATGTACGGTATACTGTCCTTGTCCAGAAAGGAAATAAAGACATCATCAAAGTAGTCCATGTGACATCAGTGGGTTAGTTAGAATGTTTTGAAGCATCGAAAATACATTTTGGTCCAAAAATAACAAAAACTACGACTTTACTCAGCATTGTATTGTCTTCCGGTTCTGTTGTGGATCCGCGTTCAGTGCCGCCGCTGACGTAAGACGCTGCTGACGTGTGTCTGGTGTGTGTGTGTGTGTGTGTGTCCGTGTATTCGGGTTCAAATAAATATGGCTGAGCAAAGAAATGCAAGTCTTCCTCTGTGTGGAAATCCTTAGACATGTTTGTGAAGATTGTTTTGTTCACAGCGTGCGTCTCCCTCAGACTGTAAACGAAGCTCGGGCGCACCAGACACACACACACACACACACACCAGACACACGTCAGCAGCGTCTTACGTCAGCGGCGGCACTGAACGCGGATCCACAACAGAACCAGAACACACACACACACCAGACACACGTCAGCAGCGTCTTACGTCAGCGGCGGCACTGAACGCGGATCCACAACAGAACCATAATACACACACACACACACACACACACCAGACACACGTCAGCAGCGTCTTACGTCAGCGGCGGCACTGAACGCGGATCCACAACAGAACCAGAATACACACACACACCAGACACACGTCAGCAGCGTCTTACGTCAGCAGCGGCACTGAACGCGGATCCACAACAGAACCATAATACACACACACACACACACACCAGACACACGTCAGCAGCGTCTTACGTCAGCGGCGTCACTGAACGCGGATCCACAACAGAACCAGAATACACACACACACACACACACACACCAGACACACGTCAGCAGCGTCTTACGTCAGCGGCGGCACTGAACGCGGATCCACAACAGAACCAGAATACACACACACACACACACACCAGACACACGTCAGCAGCGTCTTACGTCAGCGGCGGCACTGAACGCGGATCCACAACAGAACCAGAACACACACACACACACACACACCAGACACACGTCAGCAGCGTCTTACGTCAGCAGCGGCACTGAACGCGGATCCACAACAGAACCAGAACACACACACACACACACACACACACCAGAGACACGTCAGCAGCGTCTTACGTCAGCGGCGTCACTTAACGCGGATACACAACAGAACCAGAATACACACACACACACACACACACACACCAGACACACGTCAGCAGCGTCTTACGTCAGCGGCGTCACTTAACGCGGATACACAACAGAACCAGAATACACACACACACACACACACACACACACCAGACAGACGTCAGCAGCGTCTTACGTCAGCGGCGGCACTGAACGCGGATCCACAACAGAACCAGAAGACACACACACACACACACACACCAGACACACGTCAGCAGCGTCTTACGTCAGCGGCGGCACTGAACGCGGATCCACAACAGAACCAGAAGACACACACACACACACACACACCAGACACACGTCAGCAGCGTCTTACGTCAGCGGCGGCACTGAACGCGGATCCACAACAGAACCAGAACACACACACACACACCAGAGACACGTCAGCAGCGTCTTACGTCAGCGGCGTCACTTAACGCGGATCCACAACAGAACCAGAAGACACACACACACACACACACCAGACACACGTCAGCAGCGTCTTACGTCAGCGGCGGCACTGAACGCGGATCCACAACAGAACCGCAAGACAATACAATGCTGAATAAAGTCGTAGTTTTTGTTATTTTTGGACCAAAATGTATTTTCGATGCTTCAAAACATTCTAACTAACCCACTGATGTCACATGGACTACTTTAATGATGTCTTTATTTCCTTTCTGGACAAGGACAGTATACCGTACATACATTTACAATGGAGGGACAGAAAGCTCTCGGACTAAATCTAAAATATCTTAAACCGTGTTTACGAAGATGAACGGAGGTCTGACGGGCTTGGGACGACATGAGGGAGAGTCATTAATGACATCATTTTCATTTTTGGGTGAACTAACCCTTTAAGTCAATAACACTTTCAACAACTTCTCGTCACTTTCCTCTCGGTTCCTATTGTATGCTGATGGTGTGATTTTAATCCCTTTCAGGAGTATGAGACTGTGATGAAGGGTTTGGACCGGAACGCCCCCTCGGTGCCGCCCCAGAACTCCCCACAGGAGGCCCAGCAGGTGGAGATGTGGAAGAAATACATCCAATGGGAGAAGAGCAACCCACTGCGCACCGAAGATCAGACTCTCATCACCAAGAGAGGTAGATTCATTAATAATGAGCAGAAGGTTCTGGCAATCGACCAACTGCTGTTTCAATCCTGTATTTAGCAGGACTGTAGTCCAGTCACATTTATTTGTCTAAAGTTGTTCACAGTATATATTGTTTCAAAACAGCTTTACAGAAAATCATGATGTTATGTTTTATAATATCCTAATATCTTCATTGCCTTTAGCAGATTAGAGCCGGACTATAATATAGTTTTGAGATGATACAGCCGGACTATAATATAGTTTTGAGATGATACAATCAAGCAGTTGAGATTTGCTATAGTATACAGTATATCGCCCAAATGTGAGAATACTGTATTTAGTTGGACACACTTAATATAAAGAGCTGGTTGATAATAGTTTACATTTACAACGAAATAAATATCAGGCAGTTGAGATTTGCTATTTATTATATATCGCTTTATGTGAGTGTACTATGTATGCGGATAAAGTTGCATACAATATACAGTAGTGTCCAAAAGTGATGTCTGGCCTTTATTCTGTACCCTTTTTTAAATATTGTTAATTTAAAGATTTTATAAGCATATCGCATAGTTGTGCTTGGGAGTCATTTGGTTTATTTGTGATGAAACATGCCAAATTGTGCAGACATGATTTTTGGCAAGGCTGTCATACAAAGAAATTGTTAAATTATTCATATTTAAAAGTGCTGATAAACGGATATAAATGTACTGAAGTAAATTGTGAAATTCAGTCTAAAATATTGGGCTAAAAGAATTTAGTCACACGCTGAATGCTGGAGGACGATGTCTAATGTTATATGTTGTTAAATCAAGCCATTTTCTGTATCTAGCTATATTATTTGTCACTTGCAGTGATGTTCGCCTTTGAGCAGTGCCTTTTGGTTCTCGGGCATCACCCTGACATCTGGTACGAGGCGGCCCAGTACCTGGAACAGTCCAGCAAACTGCTCGCCGAAAAAGGGGTTGGTTTGCACATCAGTTTAAATAAAACACTGTTTTACTGCCGGTGATTGTGTGCTTAAATTTGAAATGTTGCTTAGGTGTCATATTAACATGCAATTGATGCACATTTCCATCATCTCTCTCCCTTTTATTCATGATCTCCTCATTCAGGACATGAACAATGCCAAGCTGTTCAGTGATGAGGCGGCTAACATCTACGAGCGTGCCATAGGAACTCTGCTCAAGAAGAACATGTTGCTGTATTTCTCTTTTGCAGACTATGAAGAGGTAATGATGACAATGATGCATTTGAAGGCCTTCAATTACCCCTTTTTCACCAAAGCATTTTGAGAGCCGGTTCGGAGCCGGTGCCTACTCGCAAACCAGTTCTTTGTGTTTCGACAGCCAAAGAACCGGTTCTCGGCCAGGAAAACTGGTTCCAAAGCGGCACCAACTCTTTGCTGGACTAGAACCGTTCTTTTACCACGTCATGCTTACGGCGGGGGCTGGAGGCGGGTTTAGATGTGTTCTAAACATCTTTTCTGACCCCAATATAGGATCGCCAGGAGAAACATTTGCAGAAACACAATGTAGTCCGCCATTGTAATTGTTATGCTTGAAGTTGGCGCAAGCGTTTCTAGTTTTTTTATTATGTTTTTTATTGAAAACATTAGGTAAGCAAAGAAGAAAACAGTCACAATATAGAACAAATAAACGAGAGAAAAAAAGACAAGACAGGGGTACATAACTAATCAGAAAAGATTACATATCAAAGGAAAAGATTAAAAGACTTACATATTTCAATTGTTTTTAAAGCCTTCTTGGTACACGATTTAGAGATAATCCCAAAGTATTGGCGGCAGTGGCTCAGTGGTTCATGTATGTTGTCTACAAACCGGAAGGTTGGTGGTTCAATCCCCGGTTCCACCTGACCTAGTGTCGAGGTGTCCATGAGCAAGACACCTAACCCCAGCTGCTCCCGACGAGCTGGATGGCGCCTTGTATGGCTGACACCGCCGTCGGTGTATGAATGGGTGAATGTGAGGCAAATTGTAAAGCACTTTGGTGGCCATTGGGTCTGTGAAAGCACTATATAAATGCAGTCCATTTACCATTTTACCATTTACCAAAGTAATGTTGTACTTGCAAGCGTTTCTAGCTAAGATGTATGGCGACGTACACAGTGACGTAACGACGTCGTTCGCTGGGCGCTCTAGTCAGTGGAAAAACAACCAGGTTCGCAAGTTGAACCAACTCCGAACCACCTTTGAACCAGCACCAGTTCCGAACCAGTTCTTTTTTGGTGGGAAATGGGGCATATGAGGTCTGTTTATGTTAGTCAAAGTCTTGCACCAAAAAGAGTCAGAACTTAAAACCCATTTTCTGTTGTCTCACCTCACAATTGAACAGGCTGGTTTGCTATTGTACCTTTAGGACTTCTATACGTAAATTATTTATGCATTTATCAGCATTACTATGTCATTCAAGATGGGCAAGTCTTTTAGTGCCGAATATGCCATATGTTAAAGTGGCCCTATTATGTTTTTGTTTTTTTTACATGTTCAACTTTCTTTAGTGTGTTTAGTTGTTTGAACATGAAAAAGGTCTGCAAATTTACAAAGCACAAATTCACACCAAAGAGTTATTTTTTTCTGTTTCTGCACTCCCTGAAACACCTCGATTGTAGAGTTTTTGTACACGTCACAATATTCCTCATTTAAATAATTCCAAAAAAGGGCGAGGCCTGGTTGAGTTAGTTAAACTTGCGGTTATGGTAAGGGGCGCGACATTTCCCAATCACGCTCGAAGCGGTTGACCGGGCCTTTATTTCAAAGGGCCAAGAAAAATCCTGACGATTCAATATTTGACCATTCATTCATAGTATTGATCTGTGCTTGATTCGCAGAGTCGCATGAAGCATGAGAAGGTTCATAGTATATACAACCGTCTCCTGGGGATTGAAGATATCGACCCTACTTTGGTGAGTCCAGCTCTCTTTGGAGACAAATGCTATAGGGTTTCCACTGTCATGGGAAAATGGCAATAATAAAGTTCTGCTGTAGAATGAAGCTTGTTTCCGCCACTGAATAAAAAAATAAAGGTATTTGCAAGTACATCGCTCAATTCTGAGAAAAAAAGTCAATTGTGATAGATTGAGAGATAACAACTCACAATTATCTTTTAAATAGTTTTATTCCGTGGCAGAAACTGAGTGATTCAAGAAAAAAAATCTCCACTTATATCTGGGAAATGTATTAATAATCACAAATATGTGGGACGACTGTAATATAACATTGCGTAGTCAAGCATGAATGAGTCATAACATTTGTGTTTGTTTTGCATTTTGTCTGACATTTTGATGTTCTTGAATCGTTCAGGTCTATATACAGTACATGAAATTCGCCAGAAGAGCTGAAGGCATTAAGTCCGGTCGCTCCATCTTTAAGAAGGCCAGAGAGGATCTTCGCACACGGCATCATGTGTACGTCACTGCTGCTCTGATGGAATACTACTGCAGCAAGGTAACATCAACACCACTCTCTGTTATATAGACACCACCGTTCAAAAGCTTGGTGCCATCTGCTACATGTTTTTGTGGAAACTGATACATATTTTTTGGGGTGACTTTTTTTCAGGATTTTTTGAATAAAAAGATCAAAAGAACAGTATTTGAAATGGAAAGCTTTTGTAAATTGAATGATACATGTCTTTACTGTGACTTTTGATTAATGCATCCTTGCTGAATATAAGTATACATTTCTTTGACAAAAAAAACTTTTGAACAGTACTGTATATATGAAATACATATATTTTGGGGTCAGTGGTCAATAACCTTAACGGTATTCATGATGTACAAAACTTTTATCGAACTGCTGTTCGATATCATGACTAAAAAAATGTCAAGCGGTGTAAATATGAAATACATATGTTTTGGGGTCAATGACAACCATTAACGGTGTCAATCTTTAATAAAAAGAAAAGAGATTTTGTTGTTTACCAAAGGTTTGATTTTGCGACTAAACATGTCAGGTGGTATGACCAAGTAAAAAAAAAAAAAAAACTCTGTAATTATTTCTTTCTTTTTTTTATGGTTTTCTTGCTAATTGACAACAAGAGAGCATCCTGGATTTGTTACACACCACTGAAATATTAGTAATATTTTAAACACAAAACTAATTCAGTGCGTCTATTCTTTTAAAGAAAAAAAATTAACCAAACAATGTCATTTTTTTTTCTTTCTTTTATTCTTTTTAACTTTGAAAATCAAAGGCTAATCGATGATAAAAAATGAACCATTTTTCATAATGAGACCTTCACATTTGTTACACCACCTGTGTTTTATGTTACGTATTGCCCCTCAAACGTCATAATGACTAAATTCAGAAATTGCCTTTTAAATAAAATAAATATCCAGATACAAAACCGACTATCTGAATGACTGTTCCCTCGACGACAGGACAAATCTGTGGCCTTTAAGATATTTGAGCTTGGACTGAAGAAATACGGTGACATTCCTGAGTACATTTTGGCGTACATTGATTACCTCTCTCACCTGAACGGTAAGAATACAATTCGATTCTCGTCATCCATACGTTTGGTGAATTCACAATATCCTTTTAATCTGATGCCAAACAATCAGTGCAATTTTTCAAGCCTGTACTACTGTCACATTTCATACAGTCTGTCTCATGTTAGGTGAAACACTGTAGGGAAAACCATTTCAGCCAAAGCATTGTGAGATTGCGTATCATTGACACGTCCTCGAGATGGCTGTTTATCCACACACACGCATACACATACACACACACACAGGATGATATCTGACTCAGGAGTGCTTATCAGACCAAACAATCCATCCGTCTGCTTTATGAAGTAGATAGCTAGGAGACAGTGTTTGCCTTGCAGTAAACATCGGTCGTGTTTATATTGTTGCTAGGCTATTACCAAAAAAAAAAAGAGAGGTAAAAAGCCTGGCCAGGAATGAGTTTTCCAAAATGACAATGAATTATTGAGCTGTTTGCCCTTCCCTCCATCATAGAGGACAACAACACCAGAGTCCTGTTTGAGAGAGTCCTGACGTCCGGCAGTCTTTCCCCTGAGAAATCTGGGTTAGTGGGATTTTATTGATCTTTTATTTTACGCAAATAAATTATTTTAATTTGCTCTTAAACATTCCTAACTATCTGCTGGGCTTTTCACACTTTAAAATGGTTAAAGTCTGTTATTTTAACCCAGGATTAACAATCATTATTAAAGGGTTAGTTCACCCAAAAAATGTCGTTCCAAACCCGTAAGACTTTCGTTCATCTTCGTTCATATTTTTGATGAAATCGGAGAGATTTCTGTCCCTCCATTGACAGCTACATAACTGAGACTTTGATGCTTCAAAAAGTTCATGAAGAGATTGTAAAACTAATTCATATGAATTGAGCGGTTTAGTCAAAATTTTCTGAATAGACACGATCACTTTATATGATGAACAAATTTAATTTAGGCTTGGGAACGAAAGTCTTACGGGTTTGGAACGACATGATGGAGAGTAATTAATGACAGAATATTCATTTTTGGGTGAACTAACCCTTTAGCATTTAATGTTTGCACTACTTTACATGCAATCAAATCATCTTTTAGTAAACGGATTGATGGCAAAATCGGATTGAAAAGCCTCACTTAAAGGGATACTCCACTTTTTTTGGAAATAGGCTTATTTTACAACTTCCCCAGAGTTAAACTGTTGAGTTTTACCGTTTTTGAATCCATTCAGCCGATCTCCGGTTCTGGCGGTACCACTTTTAGCATAGCTTAGCATACATCATTGAAGTGGACAAGACCATTAGCATTTCTAAAAAAAAAAATGACCAAAGCGTTTCGATATTTTTCCTATTTAAAACTTGACTCTTCTGTAGTTACATCGTGCACTAAGACCGACGGAAAATGTAAAGTTGCGATTTTCTAGGCTGATATGGCTAGGAACTATACTCTCATTCCTGCGTAATAATCAAGAAACTTCACTGCCGTACCATGAGTGCAGCAGGCGTAATGATATGACGCAGCGCCTAAAAATAGGCTACCTTCCGTCAACACAACGGAACTATTTTCAGGCGCTGCGTCATATCATTACGCCTGCTGCTCTCATGGTACGGCAGTAAAGTTTCTTGATATCGAAAAAAATATCGAAACTCTTTGGTCATTTTTTTTTTTAGAAATGGTAATGGTCTTGTCCACTTCAATGATGTATGCTAAGCTATGCTAAAAGTGGTACCGCCAGAACCGGAGATCGGCTGAATGGATTCAAAAACGGTAAAACTCAACAGTTTAACTCTGGGGGAGTTGTAAAATGAGCCTATTTCCAAAAAAAGTGGAGTATCCCTTTAATTGATCCGATTGAGCTTGATTCAAATAAAATTACGATCAGATTGGAAGGGGTTGTTGATCTGAAATAATTGGATTAAATAGGATTAATCTTTGTTGTGTTTAAAAATTGCCATATGATGTAGATGTTTGTCTTACGTGTGTTTTTTTTTGTCTTATGACTGAATACATATACAGAAGAGATTGTTTAGCAAATATGTAGTATATGTTAACTTTCTTTTTCGAAATGTCGTCAAGGCAAAAGTGGCAATTATGCATTTACTTGTGGTTTTGTGTAACAGGGAAATCTGGGCGCGCTTCTTGGCCTTTGAGAGCAACATCGGGGACTTGGCCAGTATCCTGAAGGTGGAGCGAAGGCGTTTCATGGCCTTTAAAGACGAATATGAGGGAAAGGAGACGGCTCTACTGGTGGACAGATACAAGTTCATGGATTTGTATCCCTGCTCCCCCTGTGAGCTCAAAGCCCTTGGTTACAAGGTACGATAGGAAACCTAGTCATTTTAATTCGCTGTCGTTGTAAAGGCCCCGATTTACTCACGGGAAAGTTATTTTTCGTTCTTCATTAAGAGTTTGAAATACCTTTTCCACCCCACCTCACACTGCTGAGAGCGACGTTTAGATGTAGATGTAAATATGTGCTGACTGCTTTCCTCTTAATAACCATAAACGCACGACAAAATAACAGTGGCGAGAAAACAGCAGTTGAGAAAGCATCAAGTAAGTGTTCGCACCAGCTCTGCAGTCAAGTCACGCCATGTTTATTTATATAGCACGTTATACAATAGATTGCAGCAAGCAGCTTTACAGTATTAAACATGATATGAAACGGTGTCGCCCTAGTCAGAAACATCAGTTTCTACTACCAGTGTGTTCATGTTTTCACTCGCGTTTGACCTCGACGGACTGAACAGAAGATTTCCATGTCAAAGAGCAACACCAACCTATTACATAATCACCACAGACCGATTAACTTTTCCTGAAAGTTTGCTTTGGCACTACAAAAACGAATTTCGTTTAGGCCCGAATTTGTTCAAAATGACGTCACACCAGTTTGTTCTTTGATTTTGCTTTAAGTATATTGGGGCCTTGAAAACATCACTAACTTGGTGTACAACAACCATCTGAACATTCTCCATCATCTGATTTGCAGGACGTGTCCCGTGCCAAATACGCACTGATTCAGGAGGCGGTGGTCACTCCTTCCACTCCTGCGCAAAAAGACGAGGCCGACCGCAAACCCGAGTACCCCAAACCAGACACCAGCCAGATGGTTCCTTTCCAGCCGCGTCATCTGGCACGTGAGTGTGACTGCATCAACACCTCACGGCCTGCGTTTAACATTAAAACCCCAAGCTGCGTACTTTGAGTCTCCCCGGTCTAAATCATGTCAATAAAGCATACGGTTGTACTCTTGAGGTGCATTGCTGAGTTTGGTGACGTGTTCTCCTAACAGCTCCTGGACTACATCCTGTTCCTGGAGGAGTGTTTCCTGTCCCTCCCACTGCTGTCATCCTCATGAAGATGCTGCCTCCTCCCAGCTGTTTTACAGTCAGTTCAACACCTCGCCTTCTCTTTACTGCTTTAGACCAAACCGTAGCATGACAGTGTCATCATGTGTGTTTTGTGTTTTGTTTTCAGGGTCCCTTTGTACAGATAGATGAGCTGATGGATTCTCTCAGAAGATGTGTATTGCCAGAAAGTAAGTATCTCAGAATATCATTACTATCATCATCTGCTCTCTGAAGTCTCACTCACCGGTTCAGTGGGGATTCATAATACATAAACATTACAGTAATGTAGTTTTTGGTAACGCTTTATACATTTTACAGTGTCCTAGTTGTACAAGTTACATGTACATACTACATGCAGTACAAACAGTTAATTATTCATAATTACAAGCAATTAACTCTGAACCTTAACCCTATAGTAAGAACACGTTGTTAATTAATATTACTCGGTACTTAAAGGGATAGTTCGGCCAAAAATGATATTTAAACCATGCATTACTCACCCTCAAGCCGTTCGAGATGCATATGTCAATCTTGTTTCAGACGAACACATTTTCAGATATTTTAGAAAATGTCTTAGACCCTTCAGTGGATATAATGTGAAGCAATGGGGTCCACCTCCTTCAAGTCCCAAAATGTGCATATATCCTTCACAAAAGTAATCCATCCGGCTCCAGGGGGATAAACGTGGGCCTTATGAGGGTAATCCGTGCGGTTTTGTCGTAAATATATACATATTTAAAACTTTATAAATGAAAATATCTGACTTCCTGCAACGATCGACGCGCGTCCACGGGTGATGGAAGTCGGCGTACGAGGTAGGACGTAGCGTCGTGACGTAGAACGAACGCGCCCGCGCAGCCAGAGAGCAGAGCAAAACATCACCCGTGAACGCGCGTCGATCGTTGCCGGAAGTCAGATATTTTCATTAAAGTTTTAAATATGTATATTTTTACGACAAAACCGCACGGATTACCCTCATAAGGCCTTCGTTTATCCCCCTGGAGCCGGATGGATTACTTCTGTGAAGGATATATGCACATTTTGGGACTTGAAGGAGGTGGACCCCATTGCTTCACATTATATCCACTGAAGGGTCTAAGACATTTTCTAAAATAACTGAAAATGTGTTCGTCTGAAACAAGATTGACATATGCATCTCGAACGGCTTGAGGGTGAGTAATGCATGGTTTAAATATTATTTTTGGCCGAACTATCCCTTTAATTGTAGAATTACGCTGTAACAAGGACACTGAAATAAATGATGAATGAACATTACATCTGCCGTCCTAAACAGTACAATAAATATTACTAGGAGGTTTAAACATTTTACATTTGGAATTATATATACTACTATAAATCTTACCAACCCCAACCTTCTTAAACGGCAGTGTATAGGCCCTACTTTATATATTTTTATTTTTAAATACTTATTTTAATATGCTGTATTTTTGCATTATGATAATGGGAATGGAGGGGCTTGATTGCCATACATTATTTTATTTATTTTTTTAGTTAAATGTACTTATTTTTAACTTTTATTAAAGTAAAAATGATGGCAAAGCTAATATAATAAATATCTTTTTGTAATTAAAAAGTAATATAATTATTTGGAATGAAAAATTTCTTGAAATATGACACATGTAAGTTGTTGAGAGGTTTTATGTAATTCATCCAGACACATTGTTTATATACTTTGTTTTATATACTGCATTTTTGCATTATGGTAATGAGAATGGAGTGGCTTAATTGTCATGAATATAATACTTATAATTCTCAGTATTTTTGATAGATTCTCATATTAAAGTGAAAATTACGGTAGTTATTATAAAATCATTTTTGTAATTAAAATCGACATAAAAGCAGTCTAATAAAAGCTACCATGCTAGATATTTAACCGCATAATTAATATAATTGTTTGGCATTAAAATAATGAGGTGGAGGTGCTTAATTGTCACACATGCCTCAAACAACATCATGATGCAAAACATGTTTTTGGGTGAAATATGCCACGTACATGTTCTTGAAGTTTTATGAAATCCCGTTGTCAACTATAATGATTATGCACTAATTCCACACACACTCTCTCTCTCTCTCTCTCTCTAGCTGTAGATGCTGCTGTAGAGTTGATCACTGGGAAACAGTTAGACATGACCAGCGAAGGAAACGGGCCTGTGGAAAACCACGCTGTTGCAAACAAGTCCTTGAAAAGGCCTAATGCGGATTCAGATGAAGAGGACGACAAAGGATCCATCGCACCTCCCATCCACGACATCTATCGAGCGCGACAGCAGAAGAGGATCCGATGAGCTGACCCACAAACACACACGAACATCACAAAGGACAATTGAACCCGAACCCACCCGTGTGTCTCAGCTCACTGAAGCTGTTCTGACTGGTTTAATGTGTCCCTGCACTCCTACAGCCAGGGGACGAGAGCCAAACGTGTCCCTCAGTGTTGACCCGCGTTTCAGAGGGCTTTCAGACTCATCGCTCGAGATCACAAGTCCGTCTATTACCCGTCATCGCTGATCTCGTTTTGGTTCAGTGCTTTCAAAGTTTCTTTTTTAACAGTTTTATTTTTTAAAACTGGGTGGTTTATACTGTATAAAGTTTTTATTCTGATTTGCCTCATAGTTCTGAACTTGCCATGTGTAGTTGATGGTGATGGAAGAGTTGAAACCCCTTTTGTAGTGAACTGATGATCACACACAACTTGCTTCCAATAAAACAAAAATGATAAAAAATTGCATGTGGTGGTGTGTGTGTGTTACTTTGCTGTCTGGCAGTGTGCCTTGAAACAAACGTCAATGCATTTATGCTCACCACTAGGATGCACTATAGCGCAATAGATGTTAAGCTGTTGGTGCACTACTGTGAAGAGGAAACCACATCAGTTTGAAGACTATTACAAAGGACCATTCTGTGAAGCGCTCAAAAACATTTAAGATTTTACCTCAAAATGAGTAGAGGTATATTTTGCATAAGATAAATTAAAGCTATTTTTAGTAAGTCTCGGATCAAATATAAAATCCTCCTCCTGACGTACAAATCTCTGCATGGACTTGCACCTCAGTACCTTATTGATTTACTACATCCCTACACTCAGCAACGGTCCCTGCGGTCCTCTGACAAGGACCTGCTCGCTGTCCCTAAGTCTAGGCTCCGGACATTTGGTGATAGAGCTTTCTGTGTTGGTGCTCCATCACTCTGGAACAAGCTTCCTCATGCCATCCGCTCTGCTCCCTCTCTAATGACCTTTAAAAACCAGCTTAAAACACACCTCTTCACTGAGGCTTATGGACTTTAGCTCTCCTGGCCTCTCACCTTTCTCCTCCTATCCCCTCCCTTCTCCCCCCTCTTGCTTTTGTTAAGCGTCCTTGGGTTTTATGAAAGGCGCTATATAAATTAAAGTTATTATTATTATTATTAAGCCATTACATTTGTTAAATTATAATAGTAGTTGTGTCCCAAATGACACACTATGCACTTGTGCACTATATACTATGTAGTGTATGAATTTTATACGGTTATTTTGTCATTCCATATCAGTCTGATGCCCCTCCCCTTCCGCTAAATAATTAAAGCTGGAAAGTTGAGTGCATGAAGTGTCCAACATTTCACTTTTTTTTTCTTCTTTTATGGCATTATCCAGGTATTTAAAGTGCATGTGTTTTGTTTTTTCTTCTTCAGTGTGAACACATCACTCGCATTATTTATACTACAAAATGTCATAGAATAGTGCATTGGGACACACCTAGTGTTTTCTACTCCCTTCTCAAATTTTCAGAACTGTAATGCAGTATTTTTAATGTAAATGTGCTGTTCTGAAAATCGGATTGTTGTGAAAATACATAAATGCACAAATAAATATAAATAATGGCCCTAAAATAGACTTCTTTTGGAGTTTTATTTGGGGCTAAAAAAAAGGAAATGTAACCTTTTTTAGTGATACCATTTTTTAGTGATTTTATATATATACACTCACCTAAAGGATTATTAGGAACACCATACTAATACTGTGTTTGACCCCCTTTCGCCTTCAGAACTGCCTTAATTCTACATGGCATTGATTCAACAAGGTGCTGAAAGCATTCTTTAGAAATGTTGGCCCATATTGATAGGATAGCATCTTGCAGTTGATGGAGATTTGTGGGATGCACATCCAGGGAACGAAGCTCCCGTTCCACCACATCCCAAAGATGCTCTATTGGGTTGAGATCTGGTGACTGTGGGGGCCATTTTAGTACAGGGAACTCATTGTCATGTTCAAGAAACCAATTTAAAAATGATTTGAGCTTTGTGACATGGTGCATTATCCTGCTGGAAGTAGCCATCAGAGGATGGGTAAATGGTGGCCATAAAGGGATGGACATGGTCAGAAACAATGCTCAGGTAGGCCGTGGCATTTAAACGATGCCCTATTGGCACTAAGGGGCCTAAAGTGTGCCAAGAAAACATCCCCCACACCATTACACCACCACCACCAGCCTGCACAGTGGTAACAAGGCATGATGGATCCATGTTCTCATTCTGTTTACGCCAAATTCTGACTTTACCATCTGAATGTCTCAACAGAAATCGAGACTCATCAGACCAGGCAACATTTTTCCAGTCTTCAACCGTCCAATTTTGCTGAGCTCTTGCAAATTGTAGCCTCTTTTTCCTATTTGTAGTGGAGATGAGTGGTACCGGTGGGGTCTTCTGCTGTTGTAGCCCATCCACCTCAAGGTTGTGCGTGTTGTGGCTTCACAAATGCTTTGCTGCATACCTCGGTTGTAACGAGTGGTTATTTCAGTCAAAGTTGCTCTTCTATCAGCTTGAATCAGTCGGCCCATTCTCCTCTGACCTCTGGCATCAACAAGGCATTTTGGCCCACAGGACTGCCGCATACTGGATGTTTTTCCCTTTTCACACCATTCTTTGTAAACCCTAGAAATGGTTGTGCGTGAAAATCCCAGTAACTGAGCAGATTGTGAAATACTCAGACCGGCCCGTCTGGCACCAACAACCATGCCACGCTCAACATTGCTTAAATCACCTTTCTTTCCCATTCTGACATTCAGTTTGGAGTTCAGGAGATTGTCTTGACCAGGACCACACCCCTAAATGCATTGAAGCAGCTGCCATGTGATTGGTTGATTAGATAATTGCATTGAGAAATTGAACAGGTGTTCCTAATAATCCTTTAGGTGAGTGTATATATACATACACACACACATATAAGCACCAACAACAGTTATATATAAAGCATTTATTCACCACCTCTTAAAATGAATCAACAATACCAGTAACTTATGACCAGTGTTGGTGGTAATGGATTACTTTTTCAAATAAGTAACGCAAGTTTTTTCCATTTATTGACTGACAGCTCTCCTGTCCTCAAATATGATTGAAACACTTTTTTATTTTGATAGTTTTCTCTCTATAAATAAGTTCACATATGCTTTTAACAGACTCAACCTCAAAGGCTATTATTATTATGGTGCCTTGAAATGTCGAATACAATCTCAAGACAGAAACTGACAACATGCACATGGATGTTCCCCTCACTTCAACATCTGTCTATAATTACCAACCCACCTATTTCCGGCCTTCATGTTCTGAACACATGCAGATGTGTTTGGGTTTTTGTCTCTTATAATCCACCATCATTAGTCTGATGTTTAACTATTATCAGCGTGTGATGGTTGATGCTGTCGTTCCAGTAATTGTCTTTTGTTCACTCACTGAACAATGACCTCGGAGCAGAAAGAGGACCTTCAGGATAAAGTCTATCTAGACTCTGTTCACTTCTATTTTTCTTTTAAAAAACATTTATTGGAAGTTTAAGTTGTGATCTGACAGCAGGAGGTAGTCTTAGGATAATAAGTGATAATATTATGTCATAATTTTGTGATATTGTGTTAATTGTCCAACAAATGTCATTCTCTCATCAATACAGACATAAAAGAAGTAGTATTTCGTTTCTTTCTATAATATATACATATTTACAACATACAAATTACTCTTTACATATAATACAATATTTGGAATATCAATTGAAGATCCTATTAAATATAAGCATTTGATATTCTGTTGCCAAAATATTGCACGAATATTTCAGGATGGCCTCTGTAGAACTGTCCGAGCAGACGGCGCTTCTCCTTCAAAGAAAGTTTGGTGTTCTCGTGAATTGTTTTTAGTAATGTCCAAAGCTCCTCTCTGGTAGTTTTCTGAACCGTTTCCATGTAATCTTTTCCAGTGAGACGGCGACAGTACGTTGTTCCTACAAGAGGGAAGATTAGCAAATAAAGGATCATGCATTGGCAGTGTTTTCCTTGCAAACATCTACAAAGATTTCTGATTAAAGGTATTACCTTGATTAGCAGGTAAATCTTTTTTTTCCCCCCATAAAATAACCAGCATGAAAAACTTAACATAAATACATTTTTCGACATATATTTCTAGTTTTACCTGTAATGAGATCAGGATCTGTTCCTTTGATGATACTGGCAAATTTATCACTTACAAGGTTGTGCAATGTGACGGGAATCTAGGGCAAAAAGGCAATCAAATTATTAGTACAAATATTTCCATGCTGTCAGTTTACCTCAGGCACAGAAACACTATGATGTTATATTTACGGTGCTTCGCGAAAGTATTCAAACCTCTTCGTTTTTTTCACATTTTATGTTGCTGTAAATGTTAAACTACTTTAAATTACTTTATTTCCTCATCAATTTACACGAAAATGTACACAAAATACTGATTTGTGACAAATTTGCTAATTTATTAAAAAGGAAAAACTGAAATAAGTACATTGCATAAGTATTCAAACCATTAACTCAGTACTTAGTTGAAGCATCTTTACAGCCTCAAGTGTTTTTGGGTATGATGCGACAAGCTTTGCACATCTGCCATTCTTCTCCTCAGATCCTCTCAAGCTCTGTCAGGTTGGATGGGGACCGGACCGTCAATGGACAGACATTTTCAGGTTTCTCCAGAGAAGTTCGGGCTCTGGCTACAGAGTTGTCCATAAGCGACTCTTATATTGTCTTAGCTGTGTACTCAGGGTCATTGTCCTGTTGGAAGGTAAATCTTCTGCCCAGTCCGAGGTTCTGAATACTCTGGACTAGGTTTTCATTAAGGCTATCTGTATATTTTGCTGCGTTGAGCTTTGCTTCTACCCTGACGAGTCCCTCAGACCCTGCATGAAGCTCCTCCACCACTCTTTACTGTTAGGATGGTATTGTGCAGGAGATGAGCAGTGGTTTCCTCCAGACATGATGCGTGAAACTGAGGTTCATCAGGCCACAGAACATTGTTTCTCACAGTCTGAGAGAGTCCTTTTCTTAAAAGTCCAAGTGGGTTTTTTCACGTGTCTTCACTGAGGAGAGGTTTGAGTCTGGCCACTCTTCTATAAAGCCCAGATAAGCTGAGTGTTGCAGTGATGTTTGTCCTTCTGGAAAGTTCTCCATTTAACCCAAAAGATTGGGGTCTGTACGATTTTTTAGTGTTATTGAAAGGAGTCTCTTCTGCTCACCAAGGTTGCATTTATTTGATAAAAAATACAGTAATACAGTAAAATCAATAATATTGTGAAGTATTATTACAATTTAAAATAGCTACTTTTTATTTGAATATATTTTAAAATGTAATTTATTATGCAAAGCTGGATTTTCAGCATCATTACTCCAGTCTTAAGTGTCACGTGATCCCGCAGAAACCATTCCAACATCTCAAGAAACTCTAGAAACATTTCTTATTATCATCAATGTTGAAAACAGTTGTGCTGCTAAATATTTTTTCCCTTCAATCAATAGAGATCACAAGAACAGCATTTATTTGAAAGAGAAATCTTTCTTACTAACACCAAAATAGTTTATTATACCATGTATGACTGATTGTATTTAGTTAGCCATTCTCTCACACACAGTGCAAATAGTTTGTATTTGGGTTTTAGAGGTCAGTCTGAGCTGGCGACTCACCTTGAAGAGGTCGTGGTGGTTGTCCATCATGAAAAGAACCAGAAGATCAACCTTCCCTTTGGCTAATTTAGTTCCATACACAATGGCATTGGAGAACGCTCTCTTTACTGCCATTCTGTTCTCTATCTACAGAAGAAAACAAACAAACGGCTTGTCAATTGTCTGTACGGATGTAGGAATTGAATTCACGTAGGTGTAAAAAAATAAATAGAAAAGCGACTGTTTCATTCATTGTCTTTTCACTAGCATGGCAACTGCAAATCACTTTAGTTTCCATGTTTTTTAACAATGACACTTTTGTGTGATGTCAACACTGCCATATACTGTGCACTGGTCTAATTTAACAGCAAGAACGCTGGACGATCCACATCAATTACAGGGACGTAATTGCATTCCACATTTTGCAGTGTTTTTCTTTTTTAATTTTCAACATCTCCAAACACATTCTGCAACTATGATGTTCATCTATATCATTCAGAAAATAAATCAGAGCGCTCATCAACCATAATCATACACCATACATACTTCATATCCTTATAACATAATTGAGTTACATCAGCATAAAAACACAGTCTTAGGGTGGGCGATATGACCAAAATCTATATCATCATACGAGTAATTTTATTTCACGATAACGATATATTTCAATATATAGTTAATTTAGCTTTAAATAAGGTTTTTGTGACGATCTGCGGCTGGAGTGCCCGCTTGAGCCTCTGGGGGGCACTCCTTCCTAGTTTATTATTTTCCATTATGTTTTACCCTCTACTGATTATGGTTGATTTTATGCACCTGTGTCTGATTATCTTGTTTAGCGCACCTGTCTTAAGCCTGAGTTATCCCTGGGTCCATAGAGGGTATGCGCATGACGTCACCGTCGGCCGGAGTGAATGCGGTCACGCCCACAAGTGGCAAAAAGACTGAGCGGCAGCATTTGTTTTCAGCGTGAATGCCGTGAAAATCACACAAAACACATCTAAAACGGGAAAGAGCTTTGCGATTGACTGTACAACTAGATTTGACCAGAAATCTGAGGTACTGTATATTTTTACAGACTGCAAAAAGCTACAGAACAGACTATATTCTGCATAATTGGATGTTTTTAAATAAACACTGACAAAAAACTATACAAGTTTTAGGGCTGGACGATATGATGATATACAGTATAACATTAATGTAAGTGATCACTCGGATTTAGACCTATCTATATTGTATTTATATAAAACGTTTACAGGCAAATTGTCTTCATTTATTTCCCCGGCGTCGAAATCAGGCACATATAAATGTCAGGAAACACGATTCCTGGCTGCATGTCAATATCCATGGATCACTGGATCTTTGATAAGTTGTAAGGAACACTATATCGAGTCCAACTTTTAGTTTAAACTGATAATAGTTTGTTTTACTCGCGTTAACGCAGTTTCCCCTATTAACTCCAGTCACGCAGCAGCTCTTCTGCCACTCAGTCCCGCTGAGGGGGGCGTGTTCCGGCGGGGAAGTGACGTTAATGCATTCCCTTTATTGCGAAGTCTTGTTTTGCCCTGCAGACATTTCCAAGTATCCCTGGTTTTCCTGGTTCCCTGATCTTTGCCTGTTTTCTCTCTGAGTGCTTTTCTGTTTAATAAAGTTACTGCGAATGGATCCGCACGACTCTGCCTCTGCGTTACAGTTTTTATGATATACTTTTTTTTAAACTATTGAAATTTCGTTCTTCTTAAAATATAAATATATTATATATTCTTATATATATATATATATATATATACATATATATATATATATACAAAAATATATTTTAAAAAATAATACGGACGCGCGAGCTCCATGTAGTAACGTTAACTTTAGCAGCTGATTTTCGCAATGCATAACACCAGAGAATATCTACGGCTTTGTAAATTTTTGGATGAAAAATAAAAAAGCAGTTCAGTACACTTGAAATCAAATCGCAGTATAGACTAGTGTGTGTGAATATTAAACTGCAAAAAGACTATTTAAATACGAATCCTGCATGTTCTGTGTGAATGAATGGTGCAGACGACGCAAGGTTTCATTTAACGTTACCTTACACACACACACACACACACACACACACACGTGTGACGCTCGCGCTGTTTTTTTGCCTTTATGAGGACATGAATGCATGAACTTCATCTCCAGACCCTAGATCTGCTCTGAAAGTCACTTCGTGAGCATTTAACCGCTTAATTTGAGAAAAACTATCGTCATGTCATAAATGCAAAGAAACTCAAAGGTCTTCACGGCAACCCGTCAAAATAAAAGTTTGGATTAAATTGACAGAAATATATTACTCTTGTACAGTAGAATTTAGATACGTCTCAACACTAATACAAATAAATGATCATCAAAACTAAATTTTTTAAGGCATAATCACAATTTCCTTCCATGTTTTAATTTTAAAGGTAAAGCTCATTGTGCAGCACGTTGTTTGAATTTCATATGATTAAAATAAATTAAATTAATGTTTTATCTCTTTATTTGATTACCAGACAAAACACTGGTAAAAAAACAAATCATAAATCAATTTTTATTTTTATTTTATTGTCGTAAGTTTAATAATTGTATAGATTTCATGATTTCAATTAATTAGATATGCTTTTTGATTACTAAAAATGTTACACCATGTATCCGTAACACACCTGATCCGCGACACTAGTAGTTTCGGGGGGTCTACCACCCCCCCTGAAAAAAATCCCAGGGGAAACACTGAACTCAGTTCAGTTCTCACGCGCTTTATGAACGGCGGCTTTATGTCTGGGCGTCTCTTAGACAGCGCTCAGAAACGTGTTTCAACGTTTTAAAATCACTTGTTTTTAAACCACAATCCTTAATTGCATGCTAACGATAAGCGCAGAACAGCAACGTCACACGAGTGTAACCGCTATAGAGATCATAGTCCAAAGTTTCTACCAGTTGACACATTTCTACTGGTTAATCGCGTCTACCGGTATATCGCCCACCACTAACACAGTCAGAGTCATGATTTATTTCATTCTCCATCCTCACTAGACCTCCGCTGATTATTGGTACCTCTTTGTGTAGTTTGATCTCCCGAGGGCCGGCGGCGAGGGCCATGAAGCGCAGTAACCGGCGGAGCTCCTCTCTACTGCGTGAATCCTGCAGTTTCAGACACAGCTGAAGAGACTCCAGCGCCTGCTCCTGCTTCCCGTTCACTGCACACGTACAGAATCATGTAATATATTAGCAGTGCAATGATACAGTGATGAGTAACAGATTTTAAACAACATTCTACAAGTGGCCTTCCAGTTGGAAAAGAAGTCTGCTCATTGTATTGGATGTGTACTTGTAGGCTACTTCAAACCTTAAAAGTATATTAAAAAAAAATACTATTCATAAAATGAAAGAAACTTAAAGTGTACTTAAAGAATAAAAAACAACTTTTAAAAAGAGCACTTGTAATAATGTTAAATTAAACGTTTTGCAAGTACATAAAGTACATCATTATGTTAAATCATTATGTTTCAATAATACTTTATGATTTAAAGAAGTACACTTATTTTGATGTGTTCACTGACTTCTTTTTTTTACTGTAGTGTTATTCAGTATTACATTTAAATATTTAAAATGTAGTTATTTGCAACTTCATCATCACATATGTGTAATTAATTACAAATATATTTAAATACATGACATAAACGTTTCAATAGAAATTACATTAAAGTATATTTTAGTCTACCGTACATGCTTGTCAGTACACTTTTACCATTTTAATTATGAAATTACATATAAAGATGTACTTCAGACCTACTTAAGTGGGTCAAAAAAGCAATAAAAGCCTAAATTAAATCTGTTCATAATATAAAGTGATCGTGTGTCTTCAGAAAATTTGGACTAAGCCGCTCAATTCATATGGATTCGTTTTACGATTCCTTTATGAACTTTTTGAAGCGTCAAAGTGGTAGTTGCGTAGCTGTCAATGAAGGGACAGAAAACTCACAGATTTCATCAAAAAGATCTTCATTTGTGTTCAGAAGATGAATGAAAGTCTTAATTAATCACAGAATTTTCATTTTTGGATGAACTAACCCTTTAAAGGAGTAGTTCACTTTTTAAAAAACTTTTGCTGATAATTTACTCACCCCCATGTCATCCAAGATGTCCATGTCTTTCTTTCTTCAGTCGAAAAGAAATTAATGTTTTTGATGAAAACGTTCCAGGATTTTTCTCCATATAATGGACTTCAATGGTAGCCAAACGGTTCAAGGTCTAAATGACCGTTTCAGTTCAGCTTCAAAGGGCTTTAAACGATACCAGACGATGAATAAGGGTCTTATCTAGTGAATCGATCTGTCATTTCAAAAATAAATAAAAAAGTTAAAGTTTTATAGGCACAAATGCTCGCCTTGCGAACTCTCCTGTTCGAACTCGTTCATCAAAATGAACGAATCTTTTTTCGAGTCATTGACTCGTTCATCAAAAAATGAACAAATCTTTTTTCGAGTCATTGACTCGTTCATCAAAATGAACGAATCTTTTTTCAAGTCATTAGAGACTCGTTCATCAAAAAATGAACAAATCTTTTTTCGAGTCATTGACTCGAAAAAAGATTCGTTCATTTTGATGAACAATTTCGAACAGGAGAGTTCGCAAGGCGAGCATTTGTGCCTATAAAACTTTAACTTTTTTATTTATTTTTGAAATGACAGATCGATTCACTAGATAAGACCCTTATTCATCGTCTGGTATCGTTTAAAGCCCTTTGAAGCTGAACTGAAACGGTCATTTACCTTGAACCGTTTGGCTACCATTGAAGTCCATTATATGGAGAAAAATCCTGGAATGTTTTCATCAAAAACATTAATTTCTTTTCGACTGAAGAAAGAAAGACATGGACATCTTGGATGACATGGGGGTGAGTAAATTATCAGCAAAAGTTTTTTAAAAAGTGAACTACTCCTTTAAGTTCAACTAACTACATTAAATATTGATATACATTTTCATTTCATTGCAATGAACATGCAATTAAGTGTTTGAAAACCATACATTCAGTTCACACTTAAGTATATTAATTGCATAATAAGTACTCTTTTTAATAGTATGCTACAGTGTACTTCTTTTTCACAAGGGCCACTAATAAGCCACATTTCCCTTAATATAAAACTCAAGTCAAGCTAACATATAGTGTACTGATGTCTTACCAAGCAGCTCGGAGACTCCGGAGTGGATGTCAAAGACGTGGTTGCTGAGCAGTGGCGGGTATTCAGACTGGCCGTAGTGCTGGACAAGGACACCGTAGAGGAGCTGCTTGTACTGGGACGTCTCCTCGGCACACTTGGCCAGCCCTCGGCTCACATCCACCACCAACTGATCCGGGAGAAACTCCAGACAGTCCACAGCTGCTGACAACCAGCTATCTGCTCTGTTAAAGACATGAAGAAGGACAGAAAATGATGGAGAGATCAGATACAGTAGTACACAAGTCCAATTATTTAAAATAAAAATAAAGTCAAATCCAACATTTAGAACACTTAAAATGCTAAGACATTATAAATGAGAAGATATTATATTATTAAGTATATAGTTCTATAAGATATAATATTATAAAGAGGTTTCATTCATCAGAAAGTGTGTTAGATGAAAAAGGGGGTTTCTACAATATGTAAAGCTACACAATGTCAATTTTTAAATAAAAAACAACAAAATGCTATTGAGAGTGCAAAAAGAAAAATCCTCTTATTTACCCAAATTCATTTTGATTAACCTGCAATAATGATTTACATTTTTTTAGCTGTCGGGATGGGTTTCGACATATTAGCCTGTGCATTTCAAAGTACCCCCCTTACTATAGTTGTAATTCTTTAAAATCAATAATAATTTTTACACACATTTGCACCTAAGTTACCCTACATGTATTCATAATCATCTTTAATGTAATTACCTTACATTTTTTGTTAAACAAGTGTTAATTGTTCAAATATTTTAGTTATAAAACGAATGTAATGATGTTGTTATTCACTTAATGATATTAAGTGAAAGAAATTATGTTCAATTTGTTTTATTATGCATTATAAAGTAAGCTATACATATTTAAAAATTAATATCGTTTGTATATATCATCGTTAAATGATAGAGACCTGATTTCGAGGGAGGACCCGATTTGTCATGACACCGGCTGTGGTTAGCGTGAAGCTGAAAGTCTTTTGTCACAACCAACGAGAAAATTTACCACGAACCAAACGCAAACCTAAATAAAATAAACCGTTTATTATTTGTCCTTCCGCTCTGATAACATGTGTAAGTTACATTTTTCACCAAATTTCTTCCGCGCAGAGGAGCAGAGCCGAAGCACAACCAAAACAATGCTCTTCCGCAAGCCGCATGCAGTTTAATTGTTTAACCGCTAGAGGGCCACAAGTGTCATAGTGTAGCTTTTATTATATTGATTTAAATACTACTATACGAGTCTACTAAACATGTCTGATTCATCGTTGAGGTTATAGTCTGGGATAAGAAAAATTATGTTTAAACTGAACACTTTTGCATTGTGGTGTAGCAAACACAACTCATATTTCCTTCATAAAACATAAATTCTAGTTTTGTCATTTAAAGCAACACTAAAACACCCCAGAAGAAAAAGGATAGAAAGAGAGAAACAAAAAGAGATGGAAATAATCATCCTACTGAGCCTCGCTGAAGGCCTTGAGGATCTCGCGGTCCAGGTAGCTGCTGGTGTAGAGCAGGTCTGGGTCGCTGTCCATGCTGTGGAGGGGTGGACGAGGGCTCTCCTGACCCTCCAACAGGCTCTCCAGAAGAGGCAGCTCAATCAACTGCAGGAGCCTTAGTACCGTCTGCTGCCGCCATATCTCATCCATCACTGACAGACAGTCACCACACACGTAAGCTTTGATACTTTAACTTAATAAAACATCCAGTATATTTCTGCATTAACTTCCTTTAACAATAATAAATCATTTAAAGTTAAAAATCACTGATATATGTATATAGTGATTTGTGGTGTTTACACACAAAAATGTCAAATTACATGTCAAAAAATATCAGAGCTCAAATTGTGTTTTATGACGTTAACGAAGACCTACACTCCTGTGATAAGCCCAGATTCATCTTCTGTGGTGTGCTGGTTGCGTTCATGTTCAGATTTCCTAAAACATCCTCCAGAGATTTATCCGTTTTGACAGGAGAGTTGTTTGAATACTCAGAATCCTCTTTCCTGAAGAAAACATCAGGAAGTAATGTGAATATTATAAGTCTGAAATCGTTTACAGTTCACGAAGAACTAAACTGAACAAGTTCCATGCATTCTTGTAGGAATCACCAAGGCTGCATCTGAAATCGCATACTTTCCTTAAATACAGTAGGCGAAAAACACTAACAGTATGTGACTAAAGAAGTGTCTGAATTCACAGTACTCATAAAGAGTAGGCAAAAAGTACCCAGATGAACTACTACTACTTCCAAGAGAGTATGCGTTTTCGGACGCAGCCTATATATGGGCTGATTCACTGTGATGATGACATTTCACGGGAAAGTTTGAGGACCTTTCCAGAAAACAATTCAGAGAAATACACAGCATTCTGTAAGATCTCTAGGTTTTCCTGTGAAAAAGAAACAAAACTGATGACAAGTAAATGATTAACTAGTTTTGCAAGGTTCTAAAACAGGTCTATCTTAGGTGATCTACTGCAAGTGGAAACACGATGCACTTTTCTGTTGTTTTCAATACGTTTTGTTATCCGTGTCACAAATTTTCAGAATTACGTCAATGTTAATTTTGTCGTAATCTTGTGTCGGGCCGGATCTGAGCCGACACTATGTTGCTGTCTGGGAAAAATCCCCCCAAAGTGATTTTTTTTTTTATTCTGCGTTACATAAAAAGAAGATATTTTTAAGAATGTTGGTAACCAAATAGTTTTGGTTACCATTGACTTTAAAGGACCATCTTATATTACACAGAAGAAAGAAAGTCATACAGGTTTGAAATAACATGAGGGTGAGTAAATAAACACAGAATTCTCAGAACAGAAGCACAAGTCTGCAAGTTTCTTCATTGGGACATATCTGACTATATCCAGAAGTAGTTCCACACCCAGAGAGCAACATAGTGTCGGCCCAGATCCGGGCCACATCCGGTACATGTGGATTCAACGCGTACCAGATGTGGGCCAGATCCGGGCCGACACTATGTTGTTGTCTGGGCAGAGAGGTGATATGACCTGGGAGAGAGGTGTTGTGAGATGCCTATACCTTTCGTAGGGTGGGCTGTACGTGTTCCTCTGTATGCTGAGAGAGTTGTAGCCACTCTCAAAGGTCTCTGAGCTTGACGTGCTGGGAGTCGGCCTGTTTAGAAACCTGTACAGACTACAGCTGCTGTCCTCAAACTTCGCTTGCCTCTTTTCTTTCCCGAACACTTTAGTGTCCACCGCTTCAAAGACCCTGGCCTCCATGAGGGCCTGGCAGAGGCGAACCGCTTTGGAACGGGGCACTTCGGCGTCCCCGCAGACTTTGCTCTGAATGATGTGAGCCAGAACCACGTCCACGGCCTCGGACCCCAGAAAGCAGTCATGGTAGATTTTCAGATTGTGGCGTCTCCTCTTCACCTCCACCTGCGTCTGAAGGTTGTTGATGATGTTAGTCCAGATGTACGTGGCTCGGAACGGCTTCCCAGCCATTCCCGTGTCTGTCGAGAGATGGACTGGATGAGAAACGCCATGTGATATTCCAGAATAATGATCTCAAACTCCATTCCTGGGTTTCTGATTTTCCACACATTAAAGGGATAGTTCACTTTGAAATTAATTGTTGGTATGTTTTAGCTTACCTCAAGGGCATCCAAGATGTAGGTGTCTTTGTTTCCGCAGAAGTTTCAATTTTGATATTTTTAGGTCAAACCGTTCTTGTCTGTCAGTCATATAATGCAGGTCTATGGTCACCACCTCAAAGAGCATGCACAGAGAAGTCCAAATTAAACATGATTTAATGACTCGTAAATGTAAGTACACATTGATGGCCTGAGACACGCGCGAGAGTGCCGGAAAAGACTGAAGCGCCCGCGCCCTCAGATCACTTGGACGTGGCTGTGTTTACAAGAGGTAAAAACGATATAAATACTGTTCGTTTTCTCACACAAACCGCTCGTTTCGTGTCTTAGGCCATCAATGTGTACTTACATTTACGAGTCATTAAATCATGTTTAATTTGGAGTTCTCTGTGCATGCTCTTTGAGGTGGTGACCATAGACCTGCATTATATGACTGACAGACAAGAACGGTTTGACCTAAAAATATCAAAATTGAAACTTCTGCGGAAACAAAGACACCTACATCTTGGATGCCCTTGAGGTAAGCTAAAACATACCAAAAACTAATTTCAAAGTGAACTATCCCTTTAAATAAGTCAAGCTTTAGACTGAAAGGATACACATTTTGGAACATTTAATAGAATTTATTAAAATACCGTTTACACCAAGAACGATAACTATAACAAAAACTATATTAGCCTCAACACCAGCGGACGATAACGATAACGTTATGTCGTCTGCCTGTTTAAATCAAGCTCTTTAAAGAGAATAGATTCTGATTGGCTGTCAATGTTTTTATCATTCGTTAGCAGAAAAAAACATCATTCTGAAAGTGATTCCAATTATATTGTTCCTCTGTCATCATTATCGTTATATTTGTAGTGTGGACTTACCAATTCTGATCAAATTAGTATAATTATTCAACTTTATAGTTATCATTATCATTACAGTTTTCATCCCTAAAACGGTTCCATGATGCTTTAGATTGATTGGAAGTTTCTTTACTTCATATAACATCATGTATCACGGTGGACACATAGACATAATGCCAATATATTTGACAGTTTTGCACTTTAATGCGGTTTAAAATCAATTAAAACAATAAACTACACAAAAACTTTGTCTTTTAATACTGGAATAAGTCTACAAAAGGAAGCTTCTTCAGACTTTTGAAACTGGACCAAGAGGTTTCAGTTTACCCATATTTAAATCCGGCACTTTATCATTATAATCAATGTGACGGTTGCAGAACATTAAGCTTCCCATATTTTGTTCTCACGGGTGTATTGCTGGACTAAAGTGAAAGCTTTTACAGATCCTTCTTCCAACACGAAGAGCATCTGCTGCCAAGATCAATACCTCACAAGCCTTATAAATGACACCGGTTGATCATTTCTCGCTAGAAGTGTTTCCTGCAGATTTTTATGTCCAGCCCTGAGGTAATGATGAAGGTCTAAATTACCCATTAGGGATCAGGATATTTACTAGGGGTGGGTAAAAACCTCCAGGACAACTGTTGTGATTACATAGAGATTCCCCTCACACACACACACACACACACCTAGTCTCAATGAAGGCTTGAGTGAACAACAGCTGGCCGCAATATAAAAGCTTCTCTCTAGACACCGCAGTTCAAGAGTTTTCCCGGGAAGTCTGGGATGCTGCAAACAGGAACCAGTTGTGTGAATATAGTCCTTGTTTGCCCTTGTGAAAAGGAAGGGTATTTTTGAAGAGCACGGAAACAATAAAAGAATATGCAAGAAATCAAACTGAATTGATTTTTTTGGACACTTAATTCCAGGACTTAAGTACATCTTTATTTATAATTTCATAATTACTTTTATTGTCTTTGAAATATGGTGAAAATGTCCTGCAAAATGTGCTGACAAGCATTTGTGGTAAACTAAAATATATTTTAATGTGATTTCTATTGAAACGTATCAAGTTAAATATAATATTGAACACACTACGGTTAAAATTATAACTAAATACTTTACATGTGCTTTAGTATGTTAGTCAACACACTTTTTGAAAGCATGACAAAAGATTATTAAAACATGATTTCAAATGTACTTCAATGTAAAACTTCTTTTATTCTCTATAAGTACACTTAGGTGTCCTTTTACTTCATTAATTTATATGATCTACAAGTACAGTTTTTAAGTATACATTCAATACGACTAAGCGCATCCCAGTTTTTATGCTTAACAAGCAATAGGCCTATTTATCAAGTCAGAAACTTAATAACGAATTTAGCAAAAGATTTGACTAAAATTATCAGATGCGTCAATAACACATAATCCCTCCATCTGAAAAACTAGTTGATAAGGTAACTTCCTTATGTTCACGTCATGCAGGCTTTATTTAATTTGCATGCCGCTAGTTGAACAACTGTTTTAGTACTTGCTGAGATTTTGATGTTAAGTTAACCATTTTAATTAGTTGTCCTTTATTTTACAGTACGAGCACTTACAAGTAGTTAATATAAGGAAACTACATGGTTAGGTTTAGGGTTCAGGGTTAGTACCTGTTATTACCCAGTTACTGTCACAACTACAATAAGTCCATAGTATGTACATGGGGAACAGGACTGTAAAATAAAGTGCTACCTTTATTCCTTATAAATGTCAATAAACCTTACAAAAAACACTGTTGATACAGTAGTGGTGTGGAAAGTAGGCTCATAACACAATGTCATATGGTACTCCAAGTACTTCAAAGAACAGCAGAGTATTACCATGGTAAGTCCACAATGACCACTCTAACATGCTCATATTATGATACCTTTTTTGTTGTGCATGATTAATAGCAGCATTGCAGTATCATAATGCTTCAAATTAGAATCCGAGATCTGCACAACGTGCATTAGAGGACATTATTAGATGAGTCGCCATGGTGTTTGTCCCCATGGATGGACAGAAGGAATCTGATGGGATTTCACTCCTCTACTGATGGACAGCACACGTTGCTGTGTTTGCCCAACACTCAGATAAATAATCCCAGAGGGAGAACACCTAATAATTGCACATCTACACTAGGCTATTGTTATGACAAACAAAAGTCGAAAACAAACACAAAACTGACTTTGTCTTAAGTGTATAAGAGCTCTAATAGTTTGTCAAGCACAGACAAGCCAAACGGGTTTGCCCTCCGGCTACTGTAAACGCACACAATTAAATGAAAACATTTGCCAACTAAACCTCTTTAAATTAATATGACTACCTAGGCTAATAAAAGTACCTAAATAAATTCACTTTAGCATTTAAATGGAATACGTCGGGAAATCAGTTTAACCATTACACACAACAATTACAAAACTATTTTAAACGTAAAGAAAAAAAGCATACAATAATAAGTCGAAATAAATTAATATAAATAAATAACATTTTCAGACATAACATGCAATCATATGCATTCTATTTTTAATATTAACTTTGGAATTTAGTTTTTAGTCACGTTTGATTAAAAAACTAAATAGCCGATACAGCATTCACATTGCAAATGCACAAAACACAATATAACTTAAATAAAACCAGCCAGTTGTACACGCAGAAACCTACCTGGAGGTCTGAGCATGTGACGTCTGTAGTTCGGGTTAAAGCTGCATGTCTCGCGTCGTTGCTGTATTCATGTAAAGCATCTCCTTTTAGTCTCGCGCTGTAAATAATGTTCACACTCGCGCGCTCTGAGCTCATCTACGCTCACACACACATACACACACACACAAGCCACTGAAGCCAGCGGCAGCAAGCCTGCGCGCGCTCTCACACACTCTTCTCGTGACGTCATGAGGGCAGTCGACAGTCATTCGCATTATAATGGTTTCATTTACACTATAGCAGTCGCCGAAACTTGTTGCAAATGATAAACAAGCACCTCTTAGACAAAAGGAACTTATTTTGGCTTTTTATAGGTTTACAAGAAATTTCAATAGAAACCAGTTACAACAACAGATTATTTGGCGTTCCAGCACGTAGGCCTATTTTAATGTGTTGACTAACATAAAGCAAAAAATGCTTTTATAATTTGAACTGTAGTGTTATTGGATATTTCACTTAAAGTGAATATTTTAAAAGTACTAAATTGCATTTCATCATTACAAAGTGTAATTACAAATGTGTTTAAGTTGCAATAGAAATTGAAATTACATGTAAAGATGTCAAAAAAAGCACTCAAATTCAACTAAATGCATTAAGTTGAATTTGAGTGATTTTTTGACATCTAATAAGCCTATACATTTAAAGTATATGACATTTCCATTTAATTACGAGCAAATAAGTTTCCAAAAACATTATATTCAGTTCGCAACAGTATTGTTTACTTTTATTTTAAGGTGTCCTTCTTACAGTGTAATTATACATTTAAGCACTGGGTGATATTGATTAACAACATGGGTTGTGATTAACCTATAGGGTTAGGTTTAGAAATAAGGTTTGGTTTGGGATTAGTTGCATGTAATTATGCACAATTTACTGTTATTACTATAGGAAGTAGGCTACATGTGTAACAAGGACTGTAAAATAAAGTGTAACCATATATTCTTTTAAAAGTATATTTCCTTAATACTTGCTAAAGTGTTTTTTCCAAAAGGGAATAAGCAAAACTGTCAAAAAAGTTTTTGAATGAGATCTCATATTTCTTTATTATGATTAACGGCCTGGCCTGGAATCCTTGAAAATTGATTTGTTTTCTAAAAACATATAAAAAAATATAATCTGCGAGGTCAAATGTAATTCTGTATGAGTCGTCTTATGTATCACTGGAATAAATGTTGGTGCTTATCAAGACCTTATTAAAAATAAGACTTGAAGACTTATCAAGACTTGATTCGTTTCAGCCTCTCGTCTCAACTGGTTGAACAGAAAGAATTCTGATAACCATGAAATGAAAAAAGCTCTCACACCATGTGAGGTTTTAAATGAAATTCAATTCTGAGAAAACTTCACTCAAAACACTATATCAGTTCAAGGAATTTATCCATGATTTAAGTTACTTGGAAATGTTAACAGACTGTGGCTAATAAGGGTTGAGAAAGCTGTGACTTAATTTGCAAATATAATTTTTAATGCATCATTGCATACAGTGTCCTCTATACGATAAGAAACCAGTAGGTAAACTCGGTTCAAGCTGTTCTTGACAGCATGCATTTGCATGTCCTATACTTCACCCGTCGATGTAAATCATTGCTCATGACATCCCCATAAAACCTTCAAACTGAAGTTATGAGGGACAGCTCATGAAACTCTGATTGGAATAATGCAAATAAAGCTGAATTCAGTAACAACAATTTGAGAACAGTATACTGAGGTTATTGAGCATGCAGTTGATATGGTCATAAAGCGTATTTTTTGTTAAAGCATTCAAACTAAGAGATTATGACGTATTGAGTTTTTACAAAAGCTCATCAACAATATCTTAACCAGACTTCAGTCCTCCGCATCAAAGGAAGAGTCAGATTAGACTGTGTGTATTATTAGTATGTGAGTGTAAAGAAACCGGTTAGACAGGGGGAGGGATGGGATCTATTTAAAAAGTCCCTCTTCCTCTGTCATCTTCTCATATGCTTTGTCACAGATTCCAGGCCAAAGGATTGTAAGACAGGATTTGCCTCTCAATGCTAACTTTCACACTCTTCAGGGGGTCTCATTCACTCCTTTTTTCCCAAGTCATTAGACCTTTTACTGTCCCTCTCGGCCACGGAGCACTTTTGCATTCCAACACACACAACCAACCACTCTGATTCAAGCCGTATATGCCAGTCAAACATCCTCAATGTAAATCTTCCATATATCTCCATGAGTCAACTAACTATAAGCTTTTGTAATTAACTGGCCCATAAAATCTTTTAAAAGACATAAATAAACAGTTTTCCTAATTTTACAGAAAGCTACCCATATGGTAGTACAAGAAGATATAAGAAGGTGGTTGGGAAAGTTTAGGAAAGTTTACTTACCTGGTCAGAACAAACAATGAAAAGTATCCAAAGTTAAGCTCATGCGAAATATAATATATTACATATCTATAAAAAGAAAATAAGTTCTCCGTAAAAGTGACGCTTCCAACCACCACAAAAAACACACATGTGTCACCAGAACTGGTTCTATCACTTCTGCGTCCTACTCGTGTGTGGTGATGTTGTTGTGTAAACCTGTGTCGCAAGCTAAAGGATTGCTAAAGCTCATTTGATCACACACAGCCCTACAGCTCAGGGTTAAATCATGCTGAGGAACCTGTTGGCAAGGTCACTGTACCTTTCTGCTGTTCCGGTTTTCTTATCAAGCATCCAGAGTCACCTTCCCTTCCTATAAACTGCCCATCTGAGCCCTGTATGTAGGGTGGTTTATCACCGGGCTTTATGGGAACACATGAGATTTGATAAGCCATGCAGTGGTAATTATGATGACCGGGGGGGTGTTATACTTTTTGTCAGGTTTATTGGTCTGGTCATGTCTGACACATCACAGCTCAGGAATGGAATGTCTTCTGGAATGTTTGGATCTCTTGAAGAACTGAACAGGTCACATTCCCCCTAAAATGAAAAGAATTTAAAAAGAAAATGCTACTTGACAATTGACTCTTTTTGGGACAAAACCAAGATTGTTTTGTTTTGACAATTTTATCTATCTATCTATCTATCTATCTATCTATCTATCTATCTATCTATCTATCTATCTATCTATCTATCTATCTATCTATCTATCTATCTATCTATCTATCTATCTATCTATCTATCTATCTATCTATCTATCTATCTATCTATCTATCTATCTATCTATCTATCTATCTATATATCTATCTATCTAGATAGATGACAACTATCTAACTTTCATGGACTTAATGTTAAATACAGCTCTCTTGGTCAAATATGATCTTGTTATAATGAAACCATTTACGCTGCATTTTGAAGCTCCTGTCTGTTACTTGCAAGTATCTCCAGGACGGATGGTTAGCGGTTTGATTGTATCAATTGCCCATCAACTGTCCCCATAAACAAATTCCAGTCTCAGTGAAACCAGAACATTGCGTGGACCAGCGTCAAAGAGTCCTCTCAGATCTGCTCCCACACAAGCCCAAAACCATGTTCCTATCAATATTCATGTGTCTCAGCATTTGGGACTGGACAAACATCCAGTTCTCCAAGCAATATGCAGCCTGGAATCTACCAACGCCCCTCACAACTTGAACTATACAGTGGCTTCCTTCATGACGGGCCATTTGTAGACATTGAAGCCTTTGTTTTCAGCCATAGAGATGTTCGAGTTTGCAGCATTGTGGCTCGCAACAATCATATTTTATTCAACAGTCCACTGACCCAGCCGGACTGAAGTCACCCAGTCTCAGTCACATGACTGAATATTTTTTCCATGAGACAACTGGAGAACAGTAAGGATATGCGTATAGGAAACCGCTTAGAGATTTTGATTGTATTCCTGAAGGGCACATGCATGCACTCTCAAAAGAAATTCATGGGACCTATTACTGCAACAAAAATTAACTTGCCCCATTATGCTTTTTTGAATACTACCTTTCATGCAGTGTGTAATATGGCTGTTTGGGAATGTAAAAGGTCTGCAAAGTTTTAAAGATCAAAGTCTACAACAAATAAAGTTATTGTCTCCTAAAGGAAAGAATCGATTCTGAACTGCTGAAATGAGTCATCAGTAATTCTAGACTCGCTTCCTGTTTCATACCTACATAACAATGTAACACATTTGCATAATTCCAGCATATGGTCTTCATTGGCGTTTGGTTTGACACATAGTGTAAGTAGTCGACCAATCACAACAGACTGGGCCATCTGACCAATCAGAGCAGAGTAAACCAATCACAACAGACTGGGCCATCTGACCAATCAGAGCAGAGCAGACCAATCACAACAGACTGGTCCATCTGACCAATCAGAGCAGAGTAAACCAATCACAACAGACTGGGCCATCTGACCAATCAGAACAGACCAATCACAACAGACTGGGCCATCTGACCAATCAGAGCAGAGTAAACCAATCACAACAGACTGGGCCATCTGACCAATCAGAACAGACCAATCACAATAGACTGGGCCATCTGACCAATCAGAGCAGAGTAGACCAATCACAACAGACGGGTCCATCTGACCAATCAGAGCAGTGTAGACCAACCACAACAGACTGGGTCATCAGGGCAGAGTATGGCTCTTGGAAAGGAAGGATTTGGAGAGACTGAATCCTTGAACAAACCATTTTCAGACTCTTTGAGAAATTAGGTGATGTACAATGCATGTTATGAGAAAATTAAAGATTTTATTTTTTGCTCTTGGATGCTTCTAAACCTATTGTAGAAGACGTCCAAAACAAACATAGGAACCTTTAAAATTGCATAAAAGGGGCACTTTTAAAAACTTTGAAGTTTCAAACACTATTTTGATGAGTTCTGTTGACATAATGTTAATTATTACATCAGTGTTGATCATCAATCTGGGTTAGGGGGAAAAAGTTGTAGTAACAATAAAATTGTCTTGGTAACTTTGAAAATTGGATTTGGAAATTGAACAGTGGATAAGGAGATTTTTTTTTAAATCGAGTGATATATATATATATTTTTTTTTAGTAAAGGAAAAATACCTGTTGGTGTTTAAATTGGTTACGACTGACATTTAATTGTTATGTTCTTTTTTTGTCTGTTTACCCTTGTGCTGAAGTATTTACTTTTAGTATTTAGTATTTAGCTGAAGTATTTACTTTTAGTATTTACTTATATATATATTCTTTATAGTGTAGAGATTGTGGTGAGGTTGTTAGAGAGAGATTGGCTACATGAAGTTTTACACTGACCACACGAGCAATGATTACACTAATGCCAGTGACAAATAATATCTTGTTGTTTAAATCTGTATGCTAAATACATATACAATGTGCTATGTTTGCTGTTAATTTGATCTAAAATAGATAAGATTAATTGGTTCCACTCCATTATGTTGAAATTTTGTTTTCTAATAATACATCAATCACATCAATGAAAACTACTGCAGATTGTATAAGTGCTTCTTCATTCGGTTGCTCTAAATTCACAGACCACACAAACAATGCACTTCACAAATCCTCTAGTGAATTTGTGTGAAGACAGGCTAAAGATTAACCAGCCTCTCCCAGTGGAAGTATGCGAGTATGCTGAGTGATAAATCACCCCGATCCACAGGTCACATCACACTGTCCACTCACAAATCTGCAGCATCACTGCTTTGCTCTGCAGAAGGAGGAACAAGAACAACAGACTAGACAAAAAAAAATACATATCAGAGAATATAACTTCCTGTTTGAGGCTCATGTGGTAGAAACACTTTCACTGCAGCTGCCTTACAACACATTCAACACAACTGCTTAATGTATTTGGCAACTTAATGTGCAATAAGTCCTTGTATTCTGATTTATGATAATGAAGCCGAGTAATATGATTTTAAAATGTTTTTCTTTTTTTGGTCCCGTTATCTTACATACACCGTCAGATTTTGTTTTGCCTGCGTCAAGAGCTCCTGTGACGGCGTTTCATTAACACTAACTGATAGCGGCGCACTGATAGCAGGAAAATCTGAAGTGGACTCAAATGTATAGACAAAACACAAAGCTTAGTGGTCATAAAAGCACACAAAGTTGAAAATTTAAATTCTGTCATCATTTACTCACACGTATGTCGTTCCAAACTTGTATGATTTTCTTTCATCTGTGGAACACAAAAGATATTTTGAAGAATGTTGGTAACCAAACCACATTTGTTATCATTTACTTGGTAATTGTATGGACAAAAACACTGAGCCATTTCACAAAATATCTTCAGCAAACAAAAAGTCATATAGGTTTGGAATGACATGTGTAAATTATTTTTTTGGAAACTATCTCTTTAACTCAACTGAAGCGAATGACAGGATATTGACATTTCTCATCTCATGTTATAATTTATAAGCCTTCATATGTATGCCTATCACATATATATACAGTGTTGGGGAAAGTTATAAAAGTAATGCATTACAATATTGTTACTCCCGAAAAAAAGTGACTAATTGTGTTACTTATGGAAAGTAATGTGTTATATTACTTTTGCCTTACTTTTTTCTCACCTGGGTTGGGCTTGCGTATTTGTTTCTTTTAAGAGGCGCATCTCAAACCTTTCAGCTGTGCTGCCATTCTGGATTGCAGAAAAAAAGGACACAGGAAAGTTCAACACTCTGGCCGCATCCAAAATGACATACTTCCCTACTATATAGTAGGCGAAAAGCAGTATGTGACAAAAAAAGTATGTCAGAATTTATAGTACTCATAAAAGAGTAGACACTAAGTCCCCAGGTTCTTCAGGCGAGATTCTGAAGTGTGCATTAGATGGACACTTTACTATCCCATGAGGCCGTAGGAGAGGATTTTTTCAATGGCAGTAAAGTGATGCAACTGACACTGGTAGGTCACATGATAATGAAAGCATTGCAGATGTAGTATGTCCGAATTATAGATTAAATACATAAAGTATGTTTGTGTAATTTAACATTTAATTATCATAGGTTTGCACAATATTCTGTTTGCATTTCATTGTCTTTATTCATTTTGAAAGAAAAGTCGGCTCCAATTTGCTCAAAACCTTATAAATAAGCCACAGTAGTTTTGGGATTCTGTTCTGAGGAGCGATGAAGCAAAAAGGGAACTTTTCAGCCCTATAGACGAAGAAGAATGAAGCATATGCAGTTAAAGGGATAGTTCAATTTGAAATTAATTTTTGGTATCTTTTAGCTTACCTCAAGGGCATCCAAGATGTAGGTGTCTTTGTTTCCGCAGTAGTTTCAATTTTGATATTTTTAGGTCAAACCGTTCTTGTCTGTCAGTCATATAATGCAGGTCTATGGTCACCACCTCAAAGAGCATGCACAGAGAAGTCCAAATTAAACATGATTTAATGACTCGTAAATGTAAGTACACATTGATGGCCTAAGACACGAAACGAGCGGTTTGTGTGAGAAAACGAACAGTATTTATATCATTTTTACCTCTTGTAACCACAGCCACGACCAAGTGATCTGAGGGCGCGGGCGCTTCGGTCTGCGCAAGCGCCGGAAAGCGTCCCGGAAGTGATCTCTCGCGCGTGTTCGTCACTCATTGTTTACACAGAACAGAGATTGTAGGTAAGACGGCTAATTAAAATGGTACTAATTTGCACTTATCCGGGATGT